TGATTTTGTAGTTGTCATTCTCTCTATAGTAGGTAAGTCTTGTTTATTAAATTAAAAAGAGGGTAAAATGAATATAAGGAGAACTTTTACTCAAATAGAGCTATATGGTTGGCTTTTGCCCTTACAAGTTTTACAACTCAGTCAGTGATGCAATTTTTAATTTTATCTAATAATTTAGTTAATCCAACCATCAAAACTGTTATAATAATTCAACATACATTGTACTTCAACATCTTAAGTAAAACTGGTATAACAGAAATATCATTAATGGCTACATATAACCACCAACTTTATTTTTCTAAATTTCTACTATGATATGGAGACTAAGTGGTAAAGTACCTTGGTTTTATTTTTTTCTGTTTTAGGTATGTTTTTAGCCGAGTTGATAGAAAAGTATTTTGTATCCCCCACACTATTCAGAGTCATCCGACTTGCCAGAATCGGTCGAATCCTGCGTCTCATTAAAGGCGCTAAGGGAATCCGCACTCTGCTTTTTGCTTTGATGATGTCTCTCCCTGCTTTGTTCAACATTGGCCTGCTGCTGTTCCTGGTCATGTTTATCTATGCGATATTTGGCATGTCCAACTTTGCCTATGTTAAGAGGGAAGCTGGGATTGATGACATGTTCAACTTTGAAACGTTTGGCAACAGCATGATCTGCCTGTTCCAGATTACCACATCTGCGGGCTGGGATGGCTTGTTAGCCCCAATTCTTAACAGCGGGGAGCCAGACTGTGACCCTAATAAAGCTCATCCGGGGAGCTCTGTGAAAGGCGACTGTGGCAACCCTTCTGTTGGGATTTTCTTCTTTGTCAGCTACATTATCATATCGTTTCTGGTAGTGGTGAACATGTACATTGCTGTGATTTTGGAGAACTTTGGTGTTGCTACTGAAGAAAGTGCTGAACCTTTGAGTGAGGATGACTTTGAGATGTTCTATGAAGTCTGGGAAAAGTTTGATCCCAATGCAACACAATTCATGGAATTTGAGAAATTGTCTGACTTTGCAGCAGCACTTGAGCCTCCTCTTCATCTACCCAAACCAAACAAAGTCCAGCTTATTGCAATGGATCTGCCCATGGTAAGTGGTGACAGAATTCACTGCCTTGACATCTTGTTTGCTTTCACAAAGCGTGTTTTGGGGGAAAGTGGGGAGATGGATGCCCTCAGGATACAGATGGAAGATCGGTTTATGGCATCCAATCCTTCTAAAGCTTCCTATGAACCAATTACAACAACATTAAAAAGAAAACAGGAGGAAGTATCTGCTGTCATTATTCAACGGGCTTACAGACGTCACCTTTTAAAACGAACAGTAAAACAAGCTTCCTTTATCTATAACAAAAACAAAAGTGAAGGAGGGGCTGGTCAGGGCATGAAAGATGAAATCCTGATTGACAAGTTAAATGAAAACTCATTTACAGAGAAAACTGATATAACCGCATCAACAGCAGTTTGCCCACCTTCTTATGATCGTGTAACAAGGCCAGTCAAAGAAAAGCACGAAAAGGAAGATAAAGATGACCAGAAATAAAAGCAAATAGCAAGCAAAATCACTTTTGTGCAAAATAGTTCATAGCCAGTAAGGATCATGTGTTTGTGTCAACAGGACTCCTGCTGGAGGTCTATGCCAAACTGACAATTTTTACAAATATACTGTACATTAAAGGTCAGTGCCTATTAAAAGATAGTGACCCCTTGTCAGTGACTGCGATATGAGGAAACAACCTTGACAGGAGGTTACTGTTCTCACTACCAGCTGACACTGCTGAAGAGGAGAGAAAAAATGGCTATTCAGACTGTAGGGACCAGTTAAAGGGGTGCAAACCAAGTATTTGTGTGTTTAGCATAGAATAATATGGTAACTCTATCCACTGTTTGCATTTCAACTGCCACATACATCATATTTTTACAAAATCTGTGTTGGTGGATTCATCTTATTTTTATTCATATGTTGTTTATTATATGTGACTATTTTTGTAAATGGGGCTTCTGCTGGGGAAGGGTATTCAGTACACCTTTACAGGTGCAAGGGCCAGGTGTTCTATTATATGACTAATATACACACAGAAATGATTTGCATGAAGGCATGCTGCACTTATAGATCATGCATGAAAATAACATTAATCACAAGGAACAACAGGTTTTTTTAGCGCATTGTTTGTGGAAAGGAATAACAGATTTTGAGGTGCTTAATTAATGTTTTCATGTTGTATCACATCCAAACAAGTCTTGGTATGCCTGTAAAGTCCCCTATAACTCACAAGAACAGTAGAGATGGATTATTTTTTGCACAGACCATTGTGTTTCAGAAAGTGCAAACTTCTTTCTAGGTCTGGAGTCACAGATTTTGTCTATGTCAATGTCTTTCTGCATACAAACACTAAATGAATCTGCCTCAGCCCTCCAAATTGATCAAAATGAGCCCTTCATAAAGTTGTTCTGCTTTGTCCTGCAGTATTGTTTAGCCATCTTCAGCTCTCAGTAAGGTGACGTTGTACATGTTAATGAAAAGCCCTCTGCTATGTAAATAGTAATTTTTAACCTGTGGTGCATGTTTGAGCAAACAGATAATGACCTTAGCACATTTATTGCATCAAATATGTACCACAATAAGTGTAATGTGCAAGCATTCAACAGGTAAAATTATGTATTATCTACCATTATAGATAGTTTGGATGCTATCAATGCATGTTTATATTGCCTATGCTGCTGTTCCTTTGACTGTCCAGGATTCTTAAATATGGAAAGCCATACATCAGAGCTAAATGAAATAAACTACTCAACAAGACCTCATTCCTCCATACCATTAAGCAATATTTTGCAGCTATTTAGGAGCTTATTTGTTTTACAATTTTGAATTTTCAGTGAAAAGCATATAGTGTATATCCAAACTGTACAGACATGTTGAAAAAATACTAAACCTGTTGAAAATAATATTAGAATTTTATAAGCAAATATAAATACTGTAAAAATCATTTAATTTTCTTTTTCAGCATTATGTACATAAACCAAGAACTGAATTTTATCTTCAGGTTGATGTCACACCTTTTTTGTTACTTTCTGTCCATAGCACTTTTTCACAGAAGAACTCCAGAGAACAAGATATAACTAATACAATGGATAGCTATAGGTTCTTATTTTTAAAAATATTTGCAAACATGTCAATACTTTCTGCAAAACGAGTTCATAATTTGCTTCTAAAAATCTAAAGTTTTTTTTGCAGTTGGGAAATGGTATAAAGTTCAAATTGAATGTCTAAGCAGTGCCTGCATCATACGTTTCTAGATACAACCTTTCTTTCACAGAATCCTTAATCTTTTCTCACATTTACTCACAGACTTTTTTTTTATTTTGATTCATGCTGCACTAGAAGAGTTCCAAGTGTTATCTTGAGCCCACAACACTTTTTCACACAAAAAAAGTAGCAAAATTGTATAATCCAACACATCAGGACATTTTATGTTTCTTACACAGGAAAATTAAATAGAGATTAATTTTATTAAAATTATTGACTAATACTGTATTAGTGAACTGCATGCAGGAAAATGCTACTATTACCCTAGCTGATGCTAAAGAACATTATCAGTGCGCTGAAATAATAAAGATTACATTTTTTATTGTATGTTCCTTTTGTCTTTATTATCTGACATCAATATAGAAAAGGTATGCTTCTAAAACACAGAATGAGAGGATACTGAAAACACTTGCAGTGAGCTATACTGTTCTTCCACATAAGCAAATCCTTGGGATTTGCTTGTTAGTCACCACCTAGGAATTTCTAATTCAATGCATGTTAAGACACTGAGCATGATGATTCTGCATGTATCAGTAGTACTGCCCTGAGTAACTTCATGAGTTCATGCAGCAGCTCCATGCAGTGGGGTACTCAAACCTCAAATACAACAGCTGTCTTGAGTGTGTCCCTGGAAGCTCAGAGTATTTACAGCAATGAGAACTGATCATTCATGAGTTTACAAAGAGAAAATTAAGACTGAAAACAGTACTAGATACATGACATTCCCCAGCCTGGATCATGAGGACCGGTTTATTCTTGCTAATTACTATTCACAAATAGGCTACAGAACATCTGACATTGAAGTGCATTTCTGAAAAAGGTGAATCGGTGTCAGAGTGAATAACTATTGGTCTTTTCTCGGGATTTTTTAAGAATCTCTCTGGAAGCACCATGATCCTAGAAGCTATCATTTGTGGATACTGATATGGAAAAATACAAATACAACTGGAAAGTGGGCCTGTTGGTTATTCTTTATCAATTGCTTCACTGAATCTCTAAAAATGTTCATTTTATATGCTTACATAATTTTATATTGCATTCCCCTACAACTTAAAGTAAAAATATTCAGAGATGAGCACTGAACTTAGTATAAAACCAGTTCATGACCAGTTGTATTGCATATGCTTGCTCAGTTGCTAATGCAGAAATAAATTTTCCTAGCATATTCCCTGAAATTCATCACAAACCTTTTGAGGGAGAAAAATGTTTCTCCTTCAAATTGTTCTGAAATACATTATGAAAAAAGTCTAAAACGTTGATAGGACAGCAAAAGTATCAAAATGAAAAGATAAGTATTTTCTGATTAATATATAGACAAAATATGTCTTAAAAGTATGTAAGTTATCCACAAACAGGAATAATAGACTGCTTTAAAAAACAAGGTAGTAAATTGAATAATATTTTTTAATATTCTATACACAGCTTTTTAAACTTTGCTTTTCTCTAGAAAATAGTTTTAAGATAAATGAGAACTATGCCACTGTCACTGCAGATCACAAGTCATGGTTATGTAAAAATATGTGTTTCTCATAGGTATTTTAGGTTTTCAATGTTACAGAAGCCAAAGTGTTACTTCTCAACAACTAGAGCATCACTTAAACATAACAGGAAATTTTGAGGATCATCTTGGCCAACAAGAGAAACAAATATGGTTACATATTGCTTATTTAGCATCTTCCTGACACTGGATGAGAAGTGTATAATGGAGTGGTGCATGCGTGATGTATTTGTCAGGAAAGCTTCCTCTGGGTACTCTCCACTCGAAGGATCAGCTTCACCTACTAATTCAGTGCAAGGTGGGTTCGGCCTCCTTGTACTAAATGACATTACTGACAGTTTTCATGTTGGACTGACAACACAACCGTTCTGACGGCCTGTTGTTTAGCACCGCTTGTTTGTTTCTGGTGTTTAGAAATGATGAATGAGGATGCTTTCTCCAGGGGAAAACCTGAATTCTACTAGTCTTTGCAACTCTGTAACTCCCAAGGTAGAACGAAAAGGTGAAAGAAAAAAAAAAAGAGAACTTCCTGCACTTGATTTTATCCCATTATTGCTTCATTTCTGCAGAGAAGCTTCACGTTAACATGCAGTGCTCAGTAATGAGATACGTTATGAAACATACGGAGCGTGGGATACTTAGTCGTATGTCCAGCCGTAAGAGCAAGAAAAACGAATTCCCACATGTCCCATTCCGCACCCCGGCAGTGACAGGCTCACGGCCGGGACCGCCCCTCAGGGACCGGCGCCACCGCCCGCCCGCGCCGACAGGGGACGCTGCCCACCCCCAGCCAGCACGTCCCGGCGAGGCGTGTTCAAGCCCCGCCCCCTCCGCCTCGCACCCAATGGTACGGGACCTCCCGCAGGCGTGGTCCCGCCCCCATCTCCGGAGAGCCCAATAGGCCGCCAGACACGTTCCGGCGTTTCCCAAAGTTTTTCTTCCGGTGTTTCTCCCGCCTCCTTTCCCTTGAAGCCAATGGCAGCGGGCGCTCCTGCCGGACAGCCAATGGCAGCGGGCGCTCCTGCCGGACAGCCAATGGCAGAGTGCGCTCCTGCCGGACAGCCAATGGCAGCGGGCGCTCCTGCCGGACAGCCAATGGCAGCGGGCGCTCCTGCCGGACAGCCAATGGCAGCGGGCGCTCCTGCCGGACAGCCAATGGCAGCGGGCGCTCCTGCCGGACAGCCAATGGCAGCGGGCGCTCCTGCCGGACAGCCAATGGCAGCGGGCGCTCCTGCCGGACAGCCAATGGCAGCGGGCGCTCCTGCCGGACAGCCAATGGCAGCGGGCGCTCCTGCCGGACAGCCAATGGCAGCGGGCGCTCCTGCCGGACAGCCAATGGCAGCGGGCGCTCCTGCCGGACAGCCAATGGCAGCGGGCGCTCCTGCCGGACAGCCAATGGCAGCGGGCGCTCCTGCCGGACAGCCAATGGCAGCGGGCGCTCCTGCCGGACAGCCAATGGCAGCGGGCGCTCCTGCCGGACAGCCAATGGCAGCGGGCGCTCCTGCCGGACAGCCAATGGCAGCGGGCGCTCCTGCCGGACAGCCAATGGCAGCGGGCGCTCCTGCCGGACAGCCAATGGCAGCGGGCGCTCCTGCCGGACAGCCAATGGCAGCGGGCGCTCCTGCCGGACAGCCAATGGCAGCGGGCGCTCCTGCGGACAGCCAATGGCAGAGTGCTCCAGGCTCGCCTCGCTCTTCCGGAGGCCGCCTCTCCGCCGCCCCGGGTAGCAACGATGGACGCTGAGGTGCAGCAGGTAGGTGCTGCTGCCGGGTGCCGTACGGCCCCGGGTTTCTCCGCGGCTGCGGGCCCCAGGAGGGGTCGGTGGAGCCTGGGACAGGAGGGCGAGCGGCCAGAGGGGCCCGGTCTGGGACGCTCGGCGCGGTTTCCTGCCTTCCCGACGTGAAGCGTTTGCACGAATGACCCGAGGCCGCCTCTCCCGCAGGCTCTGCTCAGTTATTACTGCCAAGAAGGTTACTTCCACCACGTCCGGGTTGCGGCGGATGAGGCGCTGGGGCGGCTGGGCAGCGATCCGGTGTTCCTTTTCTACCGTGCCTACGGCGCCTTGAGGACAGGTAAGGGGGGCTGGGGAGCTGGTTGTTGTGGCCTGTCCCTCCACGGCCCTCCCAAAGCGCTGGTCTTCCTTGTGTTACAAAATTCAGTCTTTAGTATGCTACACAGAAAAAAAAGCGCTGTTACAGAATCTGACTATTTTATCTTGCTGAGATTACCAGTGTTTCTCGTGACCTATCACCACCTCCCTACCCCGCCCATTCATCACCACGCCCACACACCGTTTGAATGAAACTGATCTAGACCACATAGTGCTAAAGTGAGAAATAAGGAGTATCTATTTATTTTAAATGGGTATGTGAACATGGGTCAGGTAAACAGGTTCTTTGGAGGGAATCTGAGTCCTGCACAAATGCCCATTGCATTGTATCACAAAGATAAATGTGATTGTTCTAGCTAATATCTTTTCCCTTCAGTGCAGTGGTATCTAACTTTGTATCCATCTGCCTCAGAGGAGCTGACAGCTAATACCTATTGGGAGGATCTTTGTGCACATTAAACTGTTTTGAGAAGTTTGTTTATCAAAATCCGTATTTCAAGGATGTTACAGAATACTAACAAGTAACCCAAAGTGGTGGAGGGCTGTGACATGGGGGCTAGTAAGGATACAGAAGATTTGGAGGTTGTGTATCAGTTCCCAAACTCCCTGACTTGTTTTGTTTTACAATCATACATTACTATTTAAAATCATACATTCCTATTTTTCAACATATTTTCTTTTCTATTAATGTTCAAAAGATTCATACAAAAGAGGCAAAAATCCTGCCTATGTAAAAAAACTGGACCAAAAAGAGCTGCTTAATGCCCTGTATAAAAGCAGTAAAGAAGATTTTCATCTTTATGACAGTTGACAGAACTAGACCATAACTCCTTTCAAGTTTTCTGCATTGAGATGCTCTTTTCTTTGTGTCTGTTTGAAAAAATTGAAATTCACAAATAAGTGAAAATGGATGTGTGACTAATGAAAGAAGATATAAAAAAGTGTTACCAAAAACACAGAAGGAGAATTAGAGGGGAAAAACTTAAGTCAGATTGATGTTTGATGCTGATATCTGTCTTGAAAAATGTTACGTCATATTCTCCAATTGTTTTCACTAGGTGACATCCAAGAGGGTATTCAACAGTTGGAGTCTATTAAAAACAAACAGGAGGTGTCACTTTGTACAATGATGGCTCTGATTTATGCCCATAAAAAGAGCCCTCATCCAGGTATGCTCATTAAGACAATGTTGTTTCATGTTTTAAACAGCTGTGTGTGGAGATCGGAGAGCTGTAGATTAATGCTGCCTGATTTAAAAAGGTATACTCCAGATTTGCATTTGACATAGTATCTTGTACTGAATTGAGTGACAGTTGTTATAATTGTAAACAAAAATACCAAAACACCAGAGTGAAGAGTAAGACTGAATATTAAAATAAAAAAAAAATATCTGACTTACCTACTGCAATGAAAAGTCTTCTATGGAAAATAAATAATTGAATCAAGCTTCTTGTGATTGTTGTTTACTCTTGTCTGATGTTGGTACTTTTGAGCAGAACTGCTATTTAAGTAGTCAGTAATGCAACGCCGCTTCTGTCTTTTGAGTTATCCTGATGTGGCTTTAGCCCAGAGAGCAGCTGAGCATCACACAGCTGCTTGCCCACTCCTTCCCCCTCAGGAATGGGAAGAAGAAAGTAAAAGGCTCAGGAATCCAGATAACAACAGAGAGGGAAAATTAATCCATTATGGTCAGGGGCAAAAGATAGACTTGTTAAGGGAAGAAAAAAGAACAGCAATTTAATTTCAGCACTACCACCACTCCACAAACTGAGTAGGACAGTGAGAAGTGTAACCATGTCTTAAAAACACTTCCCCCCACCCATCCCTTCTCCCTGGGGTCATCTGTGTTCCTGATTTCTCTACCTCCTCCTTCCTCAGCAGTGCAGGAGGGCAGGAGATGGGAGTTGCAGTTCATCAGTTAGTTCATCACATTTTGATCAATCCTTCCTCCTCAGGGGGAGGACTCCTCACACTCTTCCTCTACTCCAGTTGGGGTCCCTTTCATGGGAGACCTCCATGAACTTACTCCAACATGAGTCTTTCCCACAGGCTGCAGCTCTTTCCAGGCTGCTCCAGCATGGGTCCCTCTCTCATGTTGCAGTCTTCTCAGTGACACAACAGTATGGGCTTCCCTCAGAGTCCTGGCCTTCTTTGGGTGCAGCTTCCTGCTCCAGTGTGGGGTCCTCCACAGGCTGCAGGTGGGCATCTGCTCCACCAGTGACCTACATGGGCTGCAGGGGCACAGCCTGCCCTCACCATAGGCTGTGGGGGGGGTCTCTTCTCTGCTGAACCTCCCCTTCTCCTTTCTTCCACTGACCTTGGTGGTTGCATAGGTGTCTCCCTCACAACTCCCCTTCCTCCTCCCAGGTTCCCCTTAAATATGTTATCACAGAGATGGCCACCATCACTAATTGGCTCTGCCTTGGCCAGAGGCAGGTCTGACTTACAGCTGAGGGAGCTTTGAGAGGCTTCTCACAGGGGCTTCTGCTGTAGCCCCCTCCCCTTCTACCAAAATCCTCGCACTGAACACATACAAACCCAACAAACAAATGGAGACCTTACATATGGAGAAAAGAATTTTCTGAATTTTGTTATTCCTTACCTCAATGTAAAAGTGGGTTGCTTTCCTAAGCATTTTATTCCCAAAACAGTTCATTTATGAGGTAAACTTGAGTTGTCATTAAATTATTGCCTTCGTATATTCCTGACTGTGCAGGTTTATAACTGTTAGTGATAATTTTGTTAAGCAGTATGATGTGAAACAGCTCTTAAGGACATCACTTACTTGAGTCCCTAAGGACTAATACTGTAAGGCAGCAAAATTAGCATTTCAAGACTTTCTGAGAAAGTCATCGAAGTAAGGGTCAGACATTTGATTTTTAATGGCTCCTAAAAAAAGACCAGAAATGAATGTGGGCAAAAGAGAATATTTGGCAGTAAGTCCCACACACCAAATTAGATTTCTGTGTGCGATTAACCTGATGAGAGCAACTGGCCATAACAATGAGAATGTAACACAAAAGCTAATTTTCTTAAACACATCACGTATTTTCCAGGGATTCCGGAACTAAATCATCTTGTGTTTGGCATTTTAGGGCTGTTCTACAGTTAACTGTAAATTTATAAATACAAATTTATTGTCATTTCATTTATCTGGCAGAAGTCTCTGCTACAAATCTCAGGTTTAACAAATAGTGGGGTTCTTGCACAAATGACAATGTTGATGGTTCTTCTTTTATGTCTGTAACTGATTAATAATTTTAATTGGGAGGGATTGCCTGTGTGTTTATCAATATATAATACAGAAAACCATGTTTGCTTTGGAAGCCCTTGGTTTATGTGTTGAGTCTTTTGTAATATTTTGAGATGCTATCAACAAAAGCTCTGAACAAAACCTTTTCAGATCGAGATGCCATTCTAGATTTGGATGCAAAAATGAAGGAGCAACGTAAAACAGCAGGACAGCAAGCTCTGTACTTTGCTGGCTTATTTTTGTGGCATCTTGGTCGTGAGGACAAAGCCCGTGAATATGTTGATAGAATGATCAAAGTTTCTGGTGGTGGTAAAGAGGTAACTTTTTTTTTTGTATTCAAAATAGTAATGGGATCATGTATACTGTGAAGCTAGGCTTATTGTATCAATGCTATTTGGAGGTTCCCTCTAGCTGATTTGTATTCTGATACTTTCTTAATGTCACAGATTATTTGACAGGGTTTAGTAGAATTCCCATAATGATTTTTTTGTCTAAGTATTCATTTTCACTTAATGGATGAGAGTTCTGTATTGACCAATGGAAATAATACGCAGTTATACCGATTTTGCTACTTGATACTGAGCATCATAATTCTTAGCAAAAAGCTAAGCGTGATAGTCTCACTAGAGGGAGACATCTGTTTTAAATCTGAAGACTCAATACCCTTTACTGAATGTAATTGACTTTAAATTCTTTGTAAAATGCTGTATGTAGCAATGTCTTCTGCATTTATATACAGACATCAAAATTCACTAGAATGTTTAATCTTTAAAGAGTTTGTAAAAACTTACCATGTTGGCTTTTTTTCCAAAGGAGGTATCAGCTTCGATTCAAGGAGAGACAAAACAAACATTTTTTTTGTAGTCTGATGTCTTCAAGGCAGAGCTGTTAAAATTGAATACATAATTGTTTTCTTATGACACTAGTATTAAACACAAATGATGTTTCTGAATTGGTCCTCTGTGTGCTTCAGTATATTGCTCAATTTGTAATCTACAGTTTTATAGTTTATGTGGTATTATGTGAGTTAGAAATCAGCAACTATTCTAAACATTAATTTCTGAAATTACATTATGAATTTAAATAATGCCTTAGATTATGAGCTATCACTGCTTATTCATTAGAATTGGTAGCAATTTTAAATTACTGGCTAGTTTTTACTAGTGAAGAAATAATTAAGGACATCACAAAGCTTTAACACATTAATTTCTAAAAATAGTATGGATATGCCATTTTGGTAAAACAGCAGTATTTATTACTTTGTTTGTTAAAACCATAGTAGCTGGGGTTTGTTTCCTTGGTTTTGGTTTTAAGATACATTATTTGGGAGTGTTGCTTAGTAGAAAATATTTCCAGCTGAAGTATTTAATGGATTTCAAATAAGTAATTTTTTTTTTTTTTTTTTTACAGAGGGACAGGCACGTACATAAAAATGTACATTAGCATTTAGTTATATAGAAAACAAATAGTTTGTCTTTTTTCTAAATTAACTTTTGCTTAGCCCCTTTCCTAGTTTGACAGTACAAAGTTATGTGTACTTCAGATTTTTTGAGAGGTGGTTAAGGGTGCTTGAACTTAGTGAAGTATGATTTTCTTAATACATACAGTTCATTTTGATAAGATACTTTATGTACTCCTGATATAGAAGTAAAATACCTCCTTTTTTTTTACATGCTTGTATATGAATTTCAGCCAGTTTCTGTTGTATAACAAAATCATGACCTTGATTGCTAGCAATTACAAAATATGGCTCTTCTACTAAGCTTTGAATTTTAAATACATGACTCACTACTTTAATTTTATGTTACAAAAGAGCTAGTGATACTTTATAGTTTAAATTTTTGTCTTGATGACAAGTATAATTTGGTTAAATAATCCATCACTTCAGAATAGATTTTATTTACTTAAACTATAATTAAATGTCTGGAACACATACGAGAAATAAAATTCATTAATTACAAGTAATCATGCCTTTAATGGAAGGACACTTTCAACTTTTAAAATGTCTGGTACACATGCGAGAAATAAAATCTATTCATTACAAGTAATCATTCCTTTAATGGAAGGACACTTTCAACTTTTAAAAGTTCATTTTACTACTTTTTTTTTTTATAATAATGTTGGGGATTTGGGAAATGTCAGGTCTTGCACACAGGTTTTTCTTTTTAATCAGACACTAGAAGAAAAAGCAAGTTTCTCTCTGTTTTCAGCACACCGTATGTTTCTCAGTGTTTCATACAAACAAGATCATAAGAAAACATTCTGCAGAAATGTTTGCAGAAAATATTTCTAAGTCTTATGTGATCGCTTCTGCGAGGTTTTGTTCTGTCTGTTGAGCATGTTAGATTAGTTCAGTGCCATTGCAGTTTGTGTTTTTTTAATCCTGTAAGTAAAGATACTATTTGATTAATGCTGGAATGAATTACTAATATTTTAGGTTATGCTATAGACTGGTTAGAATTTCAAATACATATTTTAAATAATTAACAATACATACTTTAAGTCCTATTTTATTTTTAGGTTATTTCTACTTATTACTGTATCTAGTATACTTTTTTTACTACTTAGTAAAGAATTACAATTTATATTTTGTTTATAGGGATTGATTTTGAAAGCATGGCTTGATGTCACCTGTGGGAAAGAAACTCACATTAAAAAAGCTGTGAAATACTTGGATGAAGCACTGCAGGAAGGCAATGATGTTTTTGCTCTGCTTGGTAAAGTAAGTTTACTTCATGATTTTAATGCTTCCTAAATGTCATATCAATCTTGTAGAGTGATCAGGGGTACTGAGAAGTGTTTTCTGTAAGTCAGCTTGTTCAGAGAGTAGAAATATAGCTCCATCACAATCTTTTTGTTCAGAGGAACATGATGCACTTAAAGTGTGTTAAAATGATGCACTTTTTTCTTTTTTTTTTTCTTTGAAGAAAATTATCCACCAGATGATACTTAGTGTAAAAAAAGAAAAGTATAGGTTAAATGCAGTCAGCCTAAATGTATATTGAGGTTATAATTTTACTATGTACACAAGAAAAAAACATTTTTATTCACATATTTATATGTAAGAAATGAGGTTTCACATTGCCTGAAAATGTAAAAGTATGTGTGATCTTTTCCTTTTTGCACAGGACATCTATTCACATTACAGAATTGCTGTGTGCCATAGCAAAAAAAGTAATAGTTAAATACTGTAGTGTGATCATCTATGAATGTTGCTAATACTCATTTTAAATCATCATTAGTTTGTTTCAAGTGTTCATTTTGATTATATTTCATTAAGGGAGAGGCATGAATTGTTTTCTCTACACATTTTTCTGTTTCAGAGTCTACCACTTGTTTGTACCACAGACATTGTTATCATTATAATGTTGTTTCATATTCTGAAGTGAAATGTAGGAAAAAATTGTTCAGTGAAGATATGAAGACCAAAGTTCAGGAGGGTGTGCACAATCGTATTTGGTTAGGCATGTGTGCTTGGCTGTATGTGGACTCTTGAGTTCAATTACCAGTATATCTCAAAATTAGTTACTGCAATTAGATTTTAGACAGACAGCTATCTTGCTACAGTTTAAGAAATTATCTCTCAGAACCTACTGTATTTGCACCATTTGTATCTCAAAAATATGAAATAAAATGGCATGCACACAGTCACTTGGAATATGGTAAGTAAATTTTGAGCATCAAAGGAAAATAGATGGCAACAACATCAGTGATAACTGGCAGCAGTAACAGTGACCTACTGAGGTGTAGGTTTTTAGATGGTACATACCTCAGGGCTTGAAAAAATGTTTAATCTGTGGGTTGTGTTCAGTATCCTAAAATTGTGAGATGCTTTATACAAAGTTATTTGAAACCTAGTAAGACAATTTAACTCTTCAGCTACATCTCTTTTTCTTGCTTGGAACTAGTAACTTATAAATGCTGCGAATACCTTTGTTATAGTGTTTACCCCACACCAGGCTTTATAGATTATCATCATCTTTTGCTATTTGATTGTTGCAGTTCTCTAGTTGTGGGTGATTCTGAAGTAAAACTATTACTTAAATGAAGATTTTCCTCACTAACTCTTTTTCCTAGTTTCTGGATGAAAGAACTTCTGAATTTTCTCACCTGTATGAGTGTACAGGCTTTTGATGTGTCTTGTCTTCCTTCCATTAGGCACAGTATTTTGAGGTCCGACAGAATTATTCAGGAGCTTTGGAAACTGTGAACCAGATAATTGCAAACTTTCCAAACTTCATTCCTGCTTTCATAAAGAAAATGAAGCTACAACTAGCCTTGCAGGACTGGGAGCAGGCAGTTGAAACGGCACATAGGTTGAGTATGAAGTAGCACACCCCTAATTGTGTTCTTGCTTTATTTACACTGTAAGAACACTTTGAAACAAAAGTAGATAGGTTTCCATTTATTTTTAATGAATTTTGAATTCGTTTAATCAGTTGTTTTAAAAAAATAAATTTATACTAAATTAAGTTTCATTAGAACCCAGCCTTGCAATTCTTTGAGGATACTATATCAATATATGAATCCATTTGGATAGGAGAGGACTGTTTTTGAGATAGGCATGAAGTAACAAAGCCGTTCTTTCAGTTGAGAGCTATGACTTAAAGTGACTGTTCAGTACAAGTTATTTTATTCCCCTTTTATGATATAACAGGTGATTGAGCAAAGGTTTGTTTTGGTTTCTTTACATTCATGTTTTGTTTGGCTTTAGACTATTGCAGAAAGATGCCCTCAATTTAGAAGCCATAAGAATGGAGGCCCTGCATTATCTGTGTAGGGAAGGAAATATATCTGAGGTGAGTCTTTTTATTAGCAGACTGTGCATAATACAGCCTTTGTAGGGACTAGATGGTACATGCGCTATCTTCTTTATGTCTTCTCATACTTGGTCTGGTCCTGTGCTATACTACTTACCTTCAGGAAGAGGTGTATTCACCTATTCTGACTCAAATGGCTGTTCCAGATTATTGTTGGGGTGTTTTCTGCATGCCAAGGGAAACATAATTTTTGACCTCCATCTTTCCAGAGGACAGGAATCAAGACAAACAGAGGTCTCTGCTGGACAGTTATTTGAATTATGCTGATTTGAATTATCAAAGCAATCTTTTATTATTTAAATACACCTCTGGTAAATGAAAAAGTTATTGTAAGATTTCCATTAATTTTAAGTATTTTATTAATTGAAATAAGGGAAATAATGAGGTCATAGTCACTTAACAACAGTCTGCAATGTTAGGTTGTATAATATGTGCTTTGTTCACCCTTTTTTGACAATTACTGGGGTTTTTTTAGCTTTAAGAATTCTCTTTAAACTTTCCTTCTACTCCCAAGATCCTTTTCTGCACAGAGATATATGCATGCATTTTGTACATATGATGCTTGTGCCGTTTTTCAGGAAATTTAAAAATACATTATCTGAATTGTTACAAAAAATCATTAAATATTAAAAAAAAATAATTCATTATGCAAAAATGCTGCTATAATTTAATTACAGATTTAGCCAAAAATGTAAACTATTTTGTGTTTTGTAGGTTTTTTAAGGTTCTAGAGAAAAAGGTTAACACATTTTTAGTTATTGTGAAGAACTCTTTAGTCATTCATGTATTTATAATTAAATTTAAGTCTTACTCATACACAACCATAGGAAATATGGAGAAACAGTAACAGCTGCAATCCCTAATTCAGTAAAGCTGTACAAGAATGAAACTTGCTGGACATGGTAGGGTGTAAACAAAAGATTCTGGGGTAAAATGTCACATGTGACTAAGAGTCATGCCTAGGAAAAAAATAACCTGATGAGATTTAAATATGATTCAGGTGTGTACTTCTAAAATCATATTAAAAACCACCTATGTACCTTATTATTGTAACCCCAGAAATTACTTTAAAGTACCTTAGGTGGTTTGAGAAAGTGTGATGTTAAAAGCCTGAACATCTGGAAGTGCTTTCATTTTGAGCATGTGTGTCTGTATCACACTAAGCCTGAATAAAATTCACAGATCAGTTTCCTCAGATAATCTTGCTTTATGGGACTCTTCCTGTATGTCAGATTCAGCTCGTTTTAACTCTTTTTAGAGCATGTATAGAGGACACAGGATCTACTTGATTGTCGTTTTACTATTACAGAATATTTTTCTAGGAATTCCAAAATAAATCTTAACTCCTAGCCCTGAAAAGTTCTGAGTTTAAATTTCAAGATATTATTACATAGTAAAACAGGTGACTAGTTTTTAGTGAAAACCGTTCAATTGTCCTAATCTGTTAATTCTTTCTATGACTTATTCTCTAAGGCTTCAGTGAGACTGGGAGACCTAATAAAAGCGCTGGACAGGTTAGAACCACGGAATTCACAGCTCTTCTGCAAAATGGCTTTAGCTTTCAGTAGAACAGTAAGTATGCTTTTTTCTTAAGCAGCATAAACTATATATCCTAGGGTTTTTTCTTTTCTGGTAGACAGATGTTAAACAACTACTAAAAAGTAGAAGATTGTAGACAATTGAAATATATTACATTGTGTAGCCTTTTTTAACTATGTTTTTGAAGTTTTACACTCAGTATGAATTACAATACTTAAGCCATCTCATTTAAAAAATGTTTTTAACGCTTGCTTTTAAATGAGAAACAGGTTTCCAATGGAAATTACACTCAAATGTCCACCAACTATATTCTTAATGTAAGAATGTGACAAGAATGAAACAGAAGGTTTCTTTAATCTTTGTATTTATCAGAACCATTTTAAGGAAGCATTCAAAGCAGCTATCAACTATTCCTTACTGTATGATATTGTATATTTATGTTTGATTCCAGCACACTTTAATGTCTCAATTTTTGTATAATTACTACAGATTACATTAGTCTTATATGAGATGTTGTTGTCTCAACCACTACAGCAATATTTGGTGTGTTGTTCTGTGTGAATCCGAAAAATAAAATAAACTTAAGGTTTAAAGATTATTCTTACCATTAGTGTGGACGGAACCAGCTCATCCTTCAACATACACAAACCTTAGTTGAAAGAGCATCTGATTTGGCATCTGACAATGCAGAATTTGCTACTGAACTTGGCTACCAAATGATTTTGCAAGGGAAAGTGAAAGAAGCTTTAAAGTGGTACAAGGCTGCTATGACACTTGATGAAACAAGTGTTTCTGCACTAACTGGTAAGGTCTTACAGTTTCTTCTGGTTTTTCTGGTCTTAAGACACAGACAGTGCTTTTTCGATCAAGTTTTCCTTACTACTGCTACTAGGAAATTGTAGAACTATTAGAACAGGAGCATTAGACAGTACTGCCTGATTGATGTTATGCTGTCTTCCTTGTAGCAACAGTTTCTCCTCAGTGGATATGAATTTTGGTATTCTTTGTGAAAAATGAAACTTTCCTCTTTTAAATTAGAATTCCCAAAGTAATGATAAGGACAGAGATGTGGCTGTATTTTTTATTTAAAAAAAAAAGATTATTTTATTTCTATAGTGCCTAAGAACTATAGAGAACTCAGGCACTGCAAAAATAAAAAATTCAAGAGCAGTTGCTAGAACAAGCAGTCTGTGGCTACATATGTGTTTAAATTAGATTGAAAAACATAATGAAGTCAAAACATCTGATACTTTTGATGTACGTGTTATGTTCTTTGAAAAAAAAAAATAATTTTGATAGAGTCCAATTGCTGTCAAGAAAATGGAGAGTAAGTGTGGCATGCTTGCTTCACAGATTTTCCCCTGAATTTTTCTCCTTGACTAGGCTATTGCCTTCTAACCTGAAACTTCAGCCAGTATGAAAAATTTAGAGGGTAGGGGTGGTTTGTGCGTGTGGTTGGGATGTATGTTTTGTTTTTTTTTTTTAATGTCATTTTGCTTCTTGTACTTGTTCTGAATTTAGAAGCTAAACTTCATGGTGCTTCTACTTAGTCTAGAACCAGTTGAAGATCTACTGTTTTAAACTTTGTAACATAAGAGATGACATCTTCCCATGAAACTACTCATGGCATTGCATATATTAATGTATCAACTATGTATCATCTATCTTATGTGTTTCTAAGTACATAAAATCTGCATTACCAGAAGTCTTGATCTATTCTTTCTTCTCATATCACCACTTTGTGAAGAGGTTGAGGAGACAAAGAGTTATTATAATTCTGGAAAATAAAGCATGTGCCTTACTAGGAAGACGAATCTGCAATAAAATGTTTAAATATGTTACAGGAATTATCCGTTGTCAGCTAATACAAGGGCAGTTAGAAGATGCAGAGCAGCAGTTGGACTTTCTTAATGAAATTCAACAGTCCATTGGGAAATCTGGGGTAGGAGACATCTTCCTTCATTAAAATACTTTGATTACAATCTGAATTGTGGTCTACTAGCTACTTCATGTTCTATATTTCAGTCACTTCAACGGAGCATTCTTCATGGAGTACCATTAAATCTAAATTTCAGTTTTTCTTCCTATCAGTCTAAGTTAATGTGTCGCCTGATTGCAACACAAGGCTGTTTGCTTGCAGAACAAAACCATCATTGCCTTCTGGCAGTGCTTTATCTCTGAAAATAAGTTTGAAACATCAGGAATGGAGGGATATTATTTTCAGGATTTTGCGCTCAGAAACATTTAGAGCTTCTTGCACAAATTAAAGGAATGCATGGTAACTACGTGTCTTCCGGTATACCTAAATATAAAGAAAAAATGGCTAACATAATAGTTATGTAGTACTGTATGAGTAACAGATTAACATATTGGAATATGGAAAAATTTTTTTTTCTTCTTTTCTGCAGGAATTATCTTTCTTGCGTGCAGTCCTAGCTATGAAAAAGCATAAGAGACAAGAAGAAGTTATTGCTTTATTGAATGATGTTCTGGATACTCACTTTTCATCTTTGCATGGTTTTCCTCTTGGTGTGGAATATTTTGAAAAATTAAACCCTGATTTCTTGCTAGAAATCATTAGGGAATATCTTAATTTTTGCCCATCACAGGTAAGCAGCTGTAGAACACGTCTGTCTGAAAATGGAAATTATTCTTGGCTATCATTCTGAGATCAGTTAATCATGAAGCAAAAATCTAGAGATTTCCCCTCTTAAAATGTGAATTTGTTTGAAGTAAAAGTGTGTTTTAAGATACCATACCAGTAGTTAATCAAAATAACTATGAAAGTACATCTTTCTTGAAGTAACCAAGTTGCAATAATGACACCTGAGGAAACTTGGGTTATTTGTTTAATGCACTCTGTGTGTGTATTTATACTTTTTCAGTATCTCTTTTGATCAGAAAACTGTAGCAATACAGTGAACAGGGCTATCTCAATATGAAACTAGGATGTTCACATTGACAACCCTATTCCTGAAATATTTTTGTCAGGTCAGGGTATCTTTTCAATATACACATTCTTTCGTTTCAATTTCTTTTGTGTGTTGGTAAAAATCAGTGGAATACTACTTTATTATTAAAAAATCCAAAGAAGAATGTCACTTTCTTAGATGGCTAATCTGTGACTGAATTTGCTTGTGCTAGTTTTGGCAGCAAGAGCATGTAGAACTTAAATTGAACAGGGACCTGACATATCTAGAGCAGAAGAAAAACACTTAAAGTTTCTTTAAATTGTGTCTTCCTTAAATAAATTATTGTTCTGAAATAGCTGAGAGCCAACTTTTGTTATCCTGTCATTAGCTGATTTCTAATCTAATTACAGAACATTTCTATAAATATTTTATGTATAGTTTTAAAATCTAACAGGCAGACAAGTAGTTTTCCATTGTTGTGATCTGTCCCACCATCTATAATGAACTGGTAATGTTTGAAATGGTAATGTCATTCTATGAGTACTTACTGTCAATGATGGATTTTTAATTTGGAATGAGAACTGGTTTTCCTGAAATATTGTCTGTAGAACAGTTTGTAAACCTAAAGATAGGATTTTTCTGAAGATTAATTATTCCTTTATTGCAAAAAGGAATTTATGGTATTAGAAAGCGAGTAGTTTAGCCAGGTGGTGGAGGCTTCCAGTTTGATAGTGGATTGCTGCTTCCCCAAGGCATGGGTTCTGTGGAAATGTTAGCTGTGAACAGAAAGATCTTTAGGTTACCTTTTCTGTTTTTATGTAGAGCAATTAACAACTAGCTAAAGTAATAGAGGGAAGTGAGCAACATTTCTTATAATGAGGAACTAAAATGTGGTACATTGCACTAACAGTTCACATGAAGGTAGCTATTTTTCAGCTGATATTTTCAGTTTGCTGCTAGCAATATGGATATGTTCTGTGGTGTGGAATGTGAGGGTAGGAGGACAGGACCAGAACCTTTTCTTCTTATCCTTCTGGTCATTCATTCCAACTTCAGCTCTCTTGAAATTTAGTTCATGTCACCATTGTGTTGAATGAATTGCCATTGTAATTCAGTGTTGCCAGATGTTTGTGGGCTGACTCTTCAGCTTATGTCAGGTCTGAAGTGTTTATCATCCCTGAAGTCCATGAGGCTGTCTTGTGTTCCTGCTGATATGATGCCCCATTAAATTTAAAACATACTTTTATATTTCTTCACAATGACAGCTTACAGCTTTTTGGGCTGAAGAAAATAACAACGCTTTGCTGTTGCTCATTTGAGTTTAAAGTGAAGCTCAGACTTAAAATGAAAATAAAGTTCAAAACCTGTCAACTGGAGTGTTGTTTTTTGTTATTTGTGTTTTATTTCCTACTCCTAGCTTGGAAGTCCTGGGCGGTCTCCTTCACCACTTCTCAAGCACTGTGCTTCTGTCCTTGAAACTGTGGTAAAAACCGTGCCTGGTCTTCATCAAGCTGTCTTTTTAATTGCGAAAGTGAAATACTTGTCAGGTAATGTTTAGCTATATACCTCTTTAGTTTCTTTAATATAAAAAGTTAATTTCACACTTTTAAATCATAATTAATATTTTTCTTTCACTACAGGACACTGCATTACAGCCAAGTGAAGTATATTAGCACTGCCTTTTTTTTGATTTGTATGAGCGTATCTTAATTGTACAGACACATAAATATGGTATTTTTTACACAGTTGCTTCCAAAAAAGATCACTTATTGAATGATTTACAGATGAAACAATGGAAAAATACTTTACCTTTGACCTGGCTTTGATTTCATTTCATAGCCACATAATACTTCATATATGAGTTTACTCACTAAATGCTCACATGTATTAAGAAAAAATAAATTGGTGAATAATTAATAAATGCTCTATATTTAACCTCTGTACTTCATATCAACTACTTTTTCACTTTTTTAACTTCCTAGGGGATATTGAAGCAGCCTATAATAATCTACATTACTGTCTTGAGAGAAATCCTTCTTATGCAGATGCACACTTACTGATGGCCCAGGTGTATTTGGCTCAAAACAATACTAAATTATGTTCTCAATCCTTGGAACTTTGTCTGAGCTACAATTTTGAGGTGAGTTGGACAGAAGAATTAAACCATTTTATTTGGTCAACCATCTGAAGTGACATGGTTTTGTATATAATAATTTTTAAACTGATATTTTTATGACTCTTTCACTACAAGTTTACTATCTAAATGTTTATATGAATGTGGTATCTGAATATTTATCTAAGAATGACCATAAGGACAAAAGTAATACCTTGTATTGAAAAAAAAGTAATACCAATGTATTGAAATAGTTTTGAAATACAAATGAACAAAATGGTAGCTTGTTCTCAAATCCTTACATAAATATTAAAAACATTTGTACTTCCAGACTAACCTTGCAGCAGTCTTTAAAGCCAACATAGGACTTAAAAAGTGATCCAGTCTTTTTCTGTACTTGCTAATGAAGATGTGCACAAATGCATGGGGGGATCAGAGGGGGTCTGTAGTTACCTCATAACAAGTCACACTGCTTTAAGCACTCTAAGTGTTATGAGAGTAGCCATCTGTTATGCTTCCTTCCATTAATGTCATATCTTTGTCTATCTTTTCTGTCCCTTCAGGAGCAAATTTGGTAAATTAAGTACAGTATTAGAAAACTCACTGTTTTGCAGTGGTCCTCCCCAGTTTTATATCTTGGAACTAATACATTGCAGTATGGGATTTTTGATTTGTTGGCATCAGTGGAACTTTATGTAGGATTAACACCAAGTTGGGAACACTCTATACAGCACTCACTAGGTCTGAGTTGTGCTAAGTCTCTTGACAGAGCTTAGCTGAAAAGTGACAAAGTACCTTGCAAGCATGCTCCCATCTTGGTTCCATCCTCCAAATGATGCAAGAAAGCTGAGCATTAATTACCTAGTTAGGAAACACTGAGGTGCTTGCAACTCTGTGCACAGTTACATTTCCGTTATTGACATTCCCTTTTCATATGATAAATGTTTTAAGAAGGTGGCGAAATGTCAGGCAGGACTTGTGCCAAGTAATTATTGTATACTTATTTTATTAATAGCCTGATGAAGTGTGTATACAGCAGTGTGGGAGATTCTCAGAATCCCTTAAGATTCAGTCTAGTTTCAAATAATTCTGTAATGAATGTTTTTCTACCCCAAAGTCTCATCTCATGTAATAGTTTTTCTTTTTTTTTAATCAAAAACTTAATTACTAGTTTGCATACTCTTTGCAAGTTCTAATATTTTCATGAGTAAGTTACTGAAATTGAAATCTGATATATTTGGATGGAAGAAGGAACCAAGGTCAATATTTTTTAAAAAAAATGTCTTTAAAAGGGTTTGAATACTATGCATAACGTAAAATTTGGAAGCTCCTTATATCATTATGTATTTTTTTTAGGTGAGAGAACATCCTATTTATCACTTAATTAAGGCCCAAACCCAGAAGAAGATGGGGGAATTATCAGAAGCTATTAAGACCTTACAGATGGCAAAGAATTTACCTGGAATGAGAAAACCTACAGCTTCCTCAAAAACAAAAGGGAAAAAAATTGAAATTGATGCAAGTGATCGTGTGTCTGTCTTCCTAGAGTTAGTAGAAGCTCATCGTTTGAATGGAGAACCGGTAAGATGACAAACTTGTTAAGACATAATACACCTCAAAACAGTTTCCTCTTCCCATTAACAGAAGTGCCTATCATTAGTTTGGAATAGAAAAACATAACTTCTTTTACCAAGAGGATTTGCTTGGTAAAATTTCCAAGATGTTAATATCTGGTTTGACAGCTTGTAACTTAAATTCTACAGAGAAAAAAAACCTACTTGCAGGTGCTCGATCTTGAGGAGGAGATACTGTTGATGTTCATTTGCCAGCACCTAGATTCCTTTTTTGCTGTCACAATGCTATTAGACATATTTTTGGATCATGCCCTTATCTTTGTGTAGCAGCAGCCTTACTATCAGCTGTATCTTTATAACCCATAGAAAACTACAGATATATAAGAGAAGAGATGCAATCATGTAATTGGAAGAAACCTCTGGAGGTCATCTGGCTCAAAGCAGGACTTCTTAGAGCAAGGTGCTAAAGGCACTGTCCAGTTAAATTTTGAGCAATTCCTTGTATATATGCAATGCAAATTTATTTTCTCTACTCAAACTTTTTCTGGTAGTTCATATCACACAAATTTTGTTTATAAAATCAAGAGGAACAAAACATTTTAAATGTTTTAGCAAAACAAACAGATCCTGTGGATTTTTTTTTTTTTATGGGTTTTTTTGGTTGTTTTGTGTAATGCTCCCAGACATTTATTTGCTTATGATGTCTTAATTTTCGGTTGTTCAGCAACAGGAAATATATTAATTCTATTGGTTTTATTATTTGCAGCATGAAGCTGCTATAATACTGCAAGATGCCATAAATGAATTTTCTGGAACTCCTGAGGAACTAAGAGTTGTGATTGCAAATGCAGATTTGGCTATTGCTCAAGGAGATGTTGAACAAGCCTTGACTATGCTCCGAAATATTACACCTGAGCAGCCTTACTTTGTACAAGCTAAAGAAAAAATGGCAGATATTTATCTTCAGTACAGGAAAGATAAGAAGTTATATGCTGGCTGCTATAGGTAAAAGTTTGTGGTGTGCGTGTATGTTTTCATAGATGTTCAGTGATATCATGGTGAGCTCATTTTTTTCCCTTTCTACTACAATAAGTCAGAAATGTTTAGTGACATAATGAATTCATTTAAGTAAGTGTTGTAACATTTAAAACAGCAATTGGAAGTCCTATTTTGGAAAGATATCTCAGATATTTGGTTTTAGAAATATTTTTATTCAGAAATAATAACTAAAATCTGCAGAGGATAAAAGTGTTGTGCCCTATTTGTTGTTTAGATACCTATATTGACATGTTAAATATTAAGCAAGGTTCTGTCTTCTGTTTCCAGAGACCTAGTAGAAAAACTGCCAAGTGCTCATACTTTTCTTCTTCTTGGTGATGCATACATGAATATTCAAGAGGTACGTGCTTGCTAGAGATGAATAGAATGATTGAGTCATTTGTTGACATTGGCAAGTTGAGACAATTGATTGGTAGTTGGCAAACAGAAACTGCTTTAGGATGTAAGAAAACATAATTACTGGCTACAGATGTAACTGTTCTAAGTTCAAAGAAAAAGATCTTGAAAATGCATTTCTTCCAATAACTAGGTGAAAGTCAAGGAGGGAGTTTTATCCAGAACATTGACCTGTAAGACTAACAAAATTTAAAGTGAGAGCTAAATTAAATTCAGAAAGAAGTTGAAGATGTTTAGAAGAGTTCTGAAGCTTAGAATAATTCTAAGTAACTTAGTTGTCATATTAAAAGTTTTAATTAAAAATCTTAAATTATTGAATCTCTATACATTTTTTACATCCTTTGATTTCCTGATGAACTGGAATTGTTATTCAGTGCAGTCAAGTGGAGATAGGAATTTGAAGGATACACATTTAAATTCATATTTTGAAAAGGGTTAGGACATGCAACTAACAGTTTAGATTGTTAGTTTGGGGATCTCTACATGATTAATGGTTGTTTACTTATTAATGTTTATATGTAGTTTTCCCTTTAGTAAAGAATGATAAAGCCAGAGGCAGTTTGTTTAGATCTGCTATAACATGGCTAGAGGAGAGAAATGGATGGTTGTCCAACACAGTAATAAATTTTCATAAGTTTGTCAACTAGTGAAATTAGTAGTAGAGAAATTTCAGTGGAAAAAGAATCACATTAATTCAAACTCTTTGCCAAGTTCTCTCCCCATTCTTGATTAGCATGGAAATGTAAATTTACACGGGCTTTACACTTCCTTCAATTTCATAGTGACCTTCTCTCAGAGGTATTTTAGCTTATGAACCAGTAGTACTTGACAGTCAATCCTGGAGGTGTTACCAGATTTAGTTTTCTTCATACACCTTTTATCTTAATTCTTGACTTCTGTGTTTTTATCTTCTACTGTTGAAGCCCGATGAAGCCATAGAAGTCTACGAGCAGGCCTTGAAGAAAAATCCAAAAGATCCAGCTTTAGCAAGTAAAATTGGAAAAGCCTTAGTCAAAACGCATAACTATTCAAAGGTATTCTCTAAGTACTGTATTAGACTAATTAATATTGTGTCTGTTATTGTCAACATGTGGGCTTTGCCTAATTTTGTTTTCAGGTTGAGTAGAAGCGTTTCACTTTAAAGTGCTAAACAGACTTTTTATCCTGAAACTAAGTTTGTAGATCCCCTTCAGAATATCTGTTCAGTCAGCTGTGTGGCTCTTGCACAGGACAGGGAAGCGAAGAAAGTATTTTGGGACAGCCTGGAAAGCAAGTAAGCAGGACTGTAGTGCTGGGGAAATGGTGTGATTTTACCCTTAGTGCTTACATACAGAAATCTTGAACTTGGGTCTTTTATGTTTTGTTTACATCTCTCAGAGTCCTTTAATACAGTATTCTTAAATAGTTTCCATGTTGCCAAAAAGACTTACAGTACTCTTATGCATATGTGCTGTGACAGAAGCTGAGAGTTTCTCATTTCTCTTTTGGAAGAAACCAGCATCTTCCCAAGCTGGCATGTACATTCTGTACAAGAGGCTTTGACATGAATTGATAGACAAGTTTAAATTGCAGAGTAATCACTGCCAACTTCCTAATTTTCAGTATCTACTCTTTTTTCTAGTCACTTTTATTGAAATAACAAGCAATAAATGGGTACAGAAAGAGTCTGGAAGACCAAGAGAAATTACTCTGTGCTTTTTTTCAGCAGCACCTCTCCCATAAATGCGTAGCACTATCTTCCTCTATACTTATGGAAGTTACTTCAAGTAATAGTGTCTCTATCACTTTTGGACCTGGCAGGAGTTAGGAGGAGGGCCACGAAGATGATCAGGGGGATGAAGCACCAATCCTGTGAGGACAGGCTGAGAGAGTTGGGGTTCTTCAGCGTGGAGAAGGCTCTGGGGAGATCTTAGAGCAGCCTTCCAGCACTTACAGGGGGCTACAGGAAAGATGGGGAGGGACTCTTCATCAGGGGGTGTAGGGATAGGATGAGGGGTAATGGTTTTTAAACTTAAAGAGAGAAGATTTAGATGAGATATAAGGAAGAAATTCTTTACTGTGAGGTTGATGAGACACTGGCAGAGGTTGCCCAGAGCAGCTGTGGCTGCCCCCTCCCTGGCAGTGTTCAAGGCCAGGTTGGACGGGGCTTTGAGCAACCTGGGCTAGTGGAAGGTGTCCCTGCCCATGGCAGGGGGTTGGAACTAGATGATCTTGAAGGCCCTTGCCAGCCCGAACGAGTCTATGATTTCACGAAGTCTATTTTCTGCATTGGATTCAGGATGGGACTGTTCACTCCCATCATCACTTCTTGTCAGGTTTAATACTAATTGAAGGTTCCAGTCTGAGTTTGTGTGTTACCAACTCAGATTAAGTGACACCTGCACATTCCACTATGCCATCTTGCCTGTTTAAAGTTGCATGTTTATTACCATTGTGCCAGCAGGTTGACTAAGAAGAAACATGGTGTTAGCCCCATGGAGAAAACCCAAAACTTCTCTATCTTCTGGCACTAATAGATTTTTTTCAGGAGTGTTAATAACCAAACAAGTTACCAAGCACCACTAGGAAGTGCTGTTGCATAGAAATCCTTCTACAGATTCCTTTCTTACCATGTTGAATGCGAAATATTCAGTGTGTTGTTCCAGGGAATATACAGTCTTTGTGATGTATATTTGTCTTTGTGATGTATGATGTATGAGCAGGTTCTTGCATATGTGCAGTGTGATTAGTCAGCTGCACTTACACAGTTTTCAGGTTGGATAGAAGAAAGCCTTTCACTTTAAAGCACTAAACAGTTTTTTTGTCTTGAAAGTAAGTTTGTAGATAGATGCCCTTCAAAATATCTGGCCAAAGGCACAGTTACATGCTGGTGGATACACACCTGGTGAATTGTAGTTCTGGTGACTTGTAGTTTATGTGGTTTTGGGCCTGAACTCAAAACCATGTTTCTTTACTTCTCCATTGACTCAGTTTTACTGCATCTCCTAGCCTTAACATTGGCTAGGACAGTAGTGGCAGAGGCTTTAACTTATTATAGGAAAAACAGAAGAAAAATGGGGAAAACTTGGAATGAGCAAATGATTTTATTTGGGCAACCTCAAACTACTGGAGGGTGTGTCCAAATTGTGTTTTTTGTTAGAATTTTCACTTGCTTCTGATTATCATCATTACAAACAGATCAGTATATGATTCCTGTATTGCTCCATGATACTTCATGTGTAATGATCTAATGTACTCTGAGGGTTCCTTGAGCAGTTACAGAAAAACTTGTAATCTATATCGTGATGGGTGGTTTATGGACTTTGATTTTTTTATTTTGTGACTTCACCTATATTATGCTTAGGATGCTTAAGCCTAAATTGGTAACCTGCCTCATATGTGCATTATTAAGCATGTTAAAACATCCTATGTTTTAAAACAATGAAAGTTAATAAAATATTTCTAATTCATTTTGGAAATGTAAATTTTCAACATAATTCCAGTTCTCATTTTTCCCTTTACTTAAGAAAAGTAACATCCTATTTCAAAACTATTTAAGTTGTTATTTGAAGAGGGGGGGTTTAAACTTAGGGAATAATAGTTTATTGATCCATTAACATTGCTTTTTTTCTTGAGTAAATACTTGACTTTTTAAATTGATATGATTGTCAGCTTTTATGTTTAAAAATGCAAAGTGAGAAGACTCCTTTCTATTAAGATTATGCTTAGCTGGTATTTTTAAACTTTTCATTACTACTTTCATCCTCATGTTTTGCAGTTACACTTTGGGAAAATATTTGCCCTTTGTATACAGTAAACCAAAACTTTTTAACTCCAGTCTGAATGAAATTATCAAACTTCAGCAGTTAATGAAAATGTAGTTTAATTGGCAGTGATCCTGTCAAAGATAGAAAGTGATAATGTTGTTAGGCTTTGTAAATGCATGTTTCTCAAAATGTGGGCTCTAGTTATTCTATTTATCTTTAATTTGATATTACATGTTTGGAAGCCTGAACTTGCAAGTAAATAGCATCTTTTTTTTAATACAGTATTTACTAGAAATCACTTACAAGAGAACTGAAGAAAGAGAAAACTCTAAGCAGCATGTCATTAAATATCTGAGTAGCAAGGTTGTTGCCTTTAAGATGTCTTTAAATAATAATCACATTTTTGTTTCTTCCTTTTAGGCAATCAGTTATTATGAAGCTGCATTGAGAAGCAGTCAACAGAATTTCCTTTGCTATGATTTGGCTGAGCTTTTAATGAAACTGAAGCAGTATGAAAAGGCAGAAAAAGTACTTCAGCAAGCTTTAGATCATGAGCCTGGTAGGAATGTTATTTCTTTACGGCAAGACATACAGTTTCTACTGTTTGTGTTTTCTCTGTGACTCTAAGGAATAAACAAGTTCCATATAAACTTCTTTTTTAACTGTAAAACACAGGAAACTATTAAGTGACAAATAAGAAATGTACTCTAAAATAAACTTCACTTACATTTAAAGGTGCTTTTGCCAGGACTTTTAAACTTGGAACATCTGTGGTTAGATGAAGTCAGTAAATACAATAGCAGAGCTGCACACATGCAAGGTTCTTTCTCTTCTGTGCTAACACATGTTCTGATTGTGAATTGATTAGGTAGAGATGAGTCATTCCTGCTGTTAGGAATGGTTGTTTAGGTGGTAAATGCTACACGGTATCCTTAGAGCAAAGAGGCTGAACTGGTTGAAGATGCCTCTTAGGATCCTCTTTTACATGTTAAGAATATGCACTTACAAAGATAAAAATTTTGGATTTTTTCCCCTGTTTTTGTTAAAAGACAATTAAGAAGGTTTAAGGTGTTCAATGTGAGATATTGAGCCATGCCCTTAAGGAAGTCTTTTTACAGTGGTTTAATTGTGTTTGTTAACTTTTGTGTCTATCTGAATACAGAAACAGTATTATCAAGTCTTATTACTCGTCCCTTCTGTAAGCTTTTTTTCTGTCACTAGAGTAAACTAGTGACTAGCCCTGCACAGTATGAAAGAGGAGTAAATACTGTGCAGGGCAGTGTTGATTTTCTGTCTTATTTACTTCTTACTGAAAAAATCATCTCATTTAATGTCATATTCCTGTCTTAGTTAAGCCTTTGAGGATTTGGCTAACAATAATCATGCTCAAGACAGTTTGATCTTCTAGTGTGGAAAGATAAATTAGCAGTAAATACAATTTTCCCCATGTACTACAAAATGTTCTCTTCCATTTTACAATGAAACAAAAAAAATATAAGCCAATATCCTTTTTGTACATCTTTGATATACATGCATTCTCTACATAAAAAAAAAAAAAAAGGTATATCCCAATGGCTGATTGGGAAAATTATTGAGCACTTTAATATCTTTTTTTTTAGTAATGCTAAAATATCCTTCATTTGTGAAAGAAAAATTAAATACAGGAAATGTACAGGAAGGAATGATTTTATGTGGTTGGCTACATGGCCTAATCTCTGATTTGGAATAACATGTGACAACTGCAGCACTTGGAAGACAATTTGCTAATAGAGTATAGCTCAATATACTCACTTTTATTTTTTAAAATTCTAGTAATAATAAAACTTGGATTTTGGTGGCTTTTATGTATTAACATGGAACTGTGCTCAAGACACCACTTTGTCAATAGATTAACATGAGTACAAGCCAGGGAGAACTTGTATTTTTCAAATACTATTTTATGCATATATATATATATATATATATATATATATAAACCTAAACCATTATTCAAAAGTAGCTTGCTGCTTTTTGACTAGATACTGAAATATTTAGTTCAAATAACCGTATTTGTGTCTGTTCCAGACCGTAACAAAAGAAAGGTATCTTGAGGTGTGACTAGAAATTTCATCAAACATTCTTCTTTTTGGGTGTGCAGTAGCATTCAGTGAAGCAGTTTGGATATTTTTCATCGACTTTGAGAAGGATTTAAACAAGAAATATCAGGAGTGGCTTTATTTCCTGTCCACTTCAATCAAAAGCTTTTCTTTCATATTTCTGAGAATACAAATAGACCAGACAGTCAGGTTTTTTGTATTCCTTTTGCATCTTTCAATGTTTTTAGTCTTAAATCTGTTTGTAGGTTGTAATGTTTACTTTGCCGACTGACAACACAGTCAAACAACAGTCAAATCACAGTCCTAAATACATAAGATTGAGCTATGAACTTTTCACTTAAGCTCTTGCCTAGAGCATGCGGAGAGCTTCATCTTTCTTTGACTTAACCAGAATAATTTCTTACAAGAATAATGTCTGTTTATTGTAATTCTTACAGTTAATGAGTTGTCTTCTCTGATGGAAGATGGGCGTTACCAGGTGCTTCTGGCAAAAATTTACAGCAAAATGGAGAAGATTGATGAAGCTATTGTTTCATTACAACAGGTAAAGGGAAAACCAAAAAAAACCTATAAAAGCTTGCAATGTCTTCCCTTTTATCCCTGTTTTCATTTTTATCCCAGATTCTAACTGTAATATTTTTGTGAATGAGGAAAACTCATACATGGTAGGGGTAAAGCACCAGTGACTGTGTGAAATGGTGGTTAGAAAGTCTAAGCTTTTTGTGAGAAGTTTTATCTGAATTTTAGATCAGAATGCAGGCTTTTACTGGAAGCCTGCATTTATTTTATGCCTTCATTTGCCTGTGGAGCATAGTTTTAGCAGAGCAGGTGAAAACAAAATTGACTATGGAGACAGTTAGGTTATATACCTTTAGTTCAGCATTTAACACCACTCATAGAACAATCTGAAACAGCTTTCAGTGCCTACCTGTCATTTTGTGGCACCACTGTTTGTTTTAAATAGCAATGAGATCAGTTCATCCTGGAGTTGAATATTGTAGCTTAGACTGAGGCTTGAAAGAACAATGGTGGAAGTTAGAGATAATTTAATCCATTTAGAAGAATGCTTTCTGAACACAAAGGCTGAGCAAGAGGTTGGATCAGTACATTCCCTTCAATTGTACCTCTACTTTGTTACAGAAACAGTAAGCCTTGATAGCATCTTCTGACAAGAAATTATGTAGATTGATTAGAAAGGTAATTGTACATAAGAGTTAAAATCCTACTAATACTGCTATTTAATCTGTTGTTAAATGCTTCTTTTTTCCTTATAATGTACTTTTTTCTTTCTCAAAGCTTTTTTTTCCCCTCATCCTCCTTAAGTAAATTTCCCTCAGAGCAGCCTACTTCTCTCACGCTTTCCTTTGTTTAAATCTTTCAGCTATGTCACACTTCCAAAACTTTGTGTTTGTCTCTCTCCCTTTTTTCTTTTGTTGTTTTTCTTACTGCCCTCAAAAGTGTCCTTCCTTGTACCTGTTCTCTTTGAAAAATTTTCCTGCTCCTTTTCTTTTTACTGCCTCATTTGTTTACACAAAACCACCTGTATTTTGATTTTTTCAGCAGGACTAACTGCTTGACTCTGTTATTGGCTTTTAAACAGGTTTCTTCCCTTGGTTTTCAGAGTGATGTTAGAAGTTCCCCCCAGATTTTACTTTTGTGTTTTAATTCCCCTTCCCTGCTAGGCAAAATGGTAGGGGGGGGTGAGAAGAAGCGGAATAGTATTAGTGCTACCTTCTCTTCCACTTGTGAACTTCTAAGTGAGTGAAGCAGCTCTGAGATTTTTCTTCCCATGTTAAGATAGTTACCCTTTTTCTGCCCTAGGAGTTTTGTATCTTATGTGTGTTAATTGGCTAGAATTCCAGTTGAAATCAATGAAAACTTGCGAGGCATAATCAGAATTGAGCATAGCTATTTCCTTATCTGCCCTCTTTGGACATCTGCTGTTAAGACAGAGCTCTACCTCTGTGCTTCTGCTTGACTGTTCTTAATCACTCCTAAATGAAGGACCTTAGAAAATAAATTTTGAAAGTTTTTTTCCTTTTTTTTTTCCCCTCTGAGTTTTCTGTGCTTAATAAATGAGTTAAGTACTTACACCTTTTAGGTTTTGGCCTTTGAGGTCTTGTTTATATGCTTTATTAAAAGCTTCTTTTTTAAGGAAAAAAAGGAAAAAGGCATGTAACGCTTCTACTGAATATTTTTGATGAGGAAAGGTAGCTTGGAGACTAAGGAAGTTCTTAATGGGAACCGATGAAGATGATAAAATACTTTGCAGCAAAACTGCTTTGGTGTTTTTTGCTTGTGTGCAAAAGCACTGCTTTTTGCATAAGCATTGTTCAATGATGTAATCACAAAAAATGCTGGTGTAAGACAACTCTGCTAGTAATTATAAACTGGAACATAAGCATTTGATTTGGGGAAGAGGTTAGTTATAAATAATGCAAGACACAGAAATGTAGGGGATATTTAGACCAATAAAAATGTGTCATCTTTATTCACATGAATGTATCTGACCTAAATATTCCTTAGATGAAGTATTAAATCAGCTTGTTCATACCACCCTTTTCTTCAAGTACACAAGGGGTAAACTGGATCCCTCCCTGGCTTTTTGCTTTATTGTCCTGTTCCTTATGTTTCACAAAATACTGTATGTATGATTATCTCAAAGTTATGTTTTATAAAGTATAGATTATATATTATTGGATTGGCATGCAGTTGTCATAAGGAGCATTTTACAAGAATCTGCATCTTTTTGAAAGTGGTGAACACTAGGTTGCTTTTCAGCATGTTTTTAATGTGAATTTGGGGGAAGTAAGACAGTTTGAGAAAGGTTGTCAAGGGAGAGTTATTGGTGGGATTTGGGTTTTTTTTACTTGTTTTCATCAATGTTTTTTATAGAGGAGAAATTTTCACTCACTTTTTTTATTATTTGGGGGGTTTTGTCTATAAAATACGTAGTGTGCTTATAGAACCTTTTAGAAATTTAGTTATGGTATTTTAAAGTAGATAATATAAAATTTATTCCGTTGAAAAGTTCTGACTGTTACTCCTTTCCTCACACTAGGCTCGGGAATTACAAGCCAGAGTGCTTAAACGGGCTCAAACAGAACAGCTGGATGCAGTTCCTGCACAGAAACAGTTAGCAGCTGAAATTTGTGCTGAGATTGCAAAACATTCTACAGCCCAGCGAAACTATGAAAAAGCAATTAAATTTTACAAAGAGGCTCTTGTTCACTGTGAAACCGATAACAAGGTCAGTTCTCCGACTATTTTGCCTTTTTTCTTCTATTCAGTTTTGATACCTAGCAGTACATTTTTCCAATTATCCACAGTGCAGAAGTATATTTGCAGTTATTTCTGGTTTATGATATAGAACCTTGAACTTTCTCCCCTCCACTGCTTATCATGACAAAATAGTTGTACGTACTGCTAATTTCTGTCTCTTGCACAAACTCCTGATCCAAGTGGTGGTCTACATGCGCTCTGAGCTGTCCATTAGATCATATAGTGAGCCTATCCTCACGTACCAGTTGAGGACGTGTAAGGTACGGCACAGTAATAATGGAGATTGTTTCAATCTTGCTTGTTGCCTGTTCTCTGGGATGAAGTCCCAGTGATTTCGGTCACTTCAGACAGTTTCTGTCTCTTCTGTATCTGTTTTAGCAGTTTTAGACTTTTATCTGGCTTGGTAGGATTCTGACTTTAGTCACAAAATGTTGCTGTTGCTGAGTAGTGATTATTGCACTCACTGCGCTCTCCTCCCTGCACTGTCTCTTTCCCACAAGTCTGCCTATTGATAAATGCTGGTAAAATTGAGCTTAGTTTTATTCCCCTCTTTCTTCTCCTTTCACAGCCCTGCGTTTTAGAGATAAGAGAGGGGGAAGCAAAAGGCTAAGAAATTTAGAATGAGCACCAAAAATAAATAAATACAATTTTTGTCAAATTTCCATGATTTTCTAGCAGAAGTGTGTTGTATAAGTGTATGTGAAGACATGTTATTTTGCTGCTTCTTATTGCACAGCTATCTGATTCACCAGCTGCTAAATTATCAGTATATCACCTGGTTTTAATACTGGAACTCATGTGTTGTGGTTTCAAGAATCTAGGTCCTTCCTAAAGCTACAGCTTCAGCATCTTTGAGACAGGCTTTCCTCATAGCATCTTGTAAGAATTGTGAAGGAGAAGAAAAATAAATTGGGAGACAAATAAAAACATCCCTGAAATCTTCAGAGGGTTACTTCCCCATTCCATCATTAAGAGCAAGGAAACTGCCTGTCATAGTACAGGTACAGCTATGGCTTTTGTGGTATGCCATCCCAGTAATCAGTGTCAAAGCCTTAATGTTTTATTTTTCTTGCACACCAGTACTGAAATGGCATTTCCCTTCAATTCTTGCTAAAATCATACCATTAAGAGATTGCCATTGCTAAAAGATACTGTGCACTGATATTTGTACTGAATATTTCTGTTAGATGCACTTACTGGAGATTTTTGCTTTAATCCTACTTCACGAGCAATACAGAATACAATGTCTTAGAAAAATCTAAGACTGAGTTTCTGTTTAAAAAATTGTTTCCTGCTTAGAGTACTGAAAGCAAAATACTTTTGGTTACCCACAACTAGTATAAATGAGTCATCTCACCCTATTTCTATAGTTTCAGTAGATTTGAACTTGTGTTCTTGCCTTCATTTTTAAAAAAACATTGCTAGTACAAGGTTAGAATTGAATTATTTTAGATTACAAAATATGTATTTGACCTGTTAAACACCCACCTGTTTCTGAAATGTCTTCACAGAGTTTACTTTCCTTAAAATTATATATGGAAGTGTTGGAAATTCCTTTGAAGCTATCTGTACCTTGTTTCATCAGAACAAAATCTCCTGTATTCTAGCCAAAGTAACCTAGATTTGAAATGTTGCATTAAACAAATTATTTGGCTAACTGTGAAGAGCTTGCAGTCTATGTCATAAAGGCTTTGGGTTGTGTTGTTTCATATGACATGGTTAAATCTGGTAGGTAATACCCTACCTCATTTCTCTGACCAGATAAGAGACAATGCAGTTTCCAAATACAAACTTGAAGTGGATCATGGACTGCATCAAGCACATCATTTCATAAGAAGACAATGGCTTGAAGAAAGCTATAATAATTAAAATTCTTACATGCATGTCATCTCCATATCATTTCAGTTATTACCCACCTGCCTTTCTGTTTCAGAATTATACAGCAGGAGTGACACTGCTTACTGTTTGTCTACTGCTCATTTTACTTGGATTGGTTTAACTCCTGTTTTCTTCAGTGGGAATTTGATTAATCTGTGGTACTGTTGTGTTTATAAACTTTTCTGTGGCATTTTACTCAGAATAGTCTGTAATGGGACTTCAGCCTTAAGAATACATGCTTACATACATTTCAGTTTGTTAATATTTATTCTGCAATTCCTTCTCAGAAATGGATACACACACACACTTAATGTGGTAGGTTTGGAAATGCAAATAAGAAAACTCTTTCTGCTGGAATTTGCTTATACTCCAAAACTAACTGGTGAATGTTAATGAGGTATTTGGTTCTGTCAGTTAGTTTAAAACTACTTACATTTCCATTTTTTTCCAAGAAAATTACTCTTACCAAAATACTGTAGTCTTCAGAGTGATGCTATCAGAGTGGCTGTGTTTTCAATGTACCTTCAGAATATCCCTCTGAAGAAGAAAATTTTTATCTGTTTTAAAGATGAAGGAATGGAAATGAATTAAATTACTTGACCAAGAGCCCACAGGAAACAACAACAGAGAAAGGTCTCTCTTTAGAAGAGAAATAAATTTCCCCTGAGGCTCTGAAATCTCAGGTTCATACTCATAGAACTGAACCAGCTTTCTTCATCTTTGAGTTACATATCGTTAAATATTTTAAAATACAGGCAATGTTGGAACTTGCACGTTTGTATCTTGCACAAGATGATACTGATGCCTGTCAACATCAGTGTTCCTTACTACTGAAGAATGACCAAGATAATGAAGCAGCAACGATGGTATGTGCTATTATACCAATCCTGTATCAGGATTTTTTTGAAGTTTGCGTGTCTGCAATGTGATGGATGCTTAAAATACTTCTTTTACAAAAGCTTACAGCTTCCAATTAAAAAAAAAAAAAAAAAAGTGAAAAATCCATTAAAAAAAAATGTTTTTCTATTTATGCTGGATAATAATTCAACATAAAGTTTCTAGCAGTCATAGCCTTTGTTCTATCTCAGTGCAAAAATGTGTCTTTAGAAGTACTAGTAGAGTAAAAAGTAGCAGTTGTCAGATTGACTGAAGCATGGCATAATGCATGTTCTATTAAAAATTGACTAATGGTCAGGGAAGACATTATTTTTCTAGCACAGTAATATTAAAGCAAGTATATAAAAAAACTTCCAGAAGAAAAGAACTGTGTACTTAAGGTGGTTTTACATCCTTATACAATCATAGTTAATCATATTCCTACTTAACCATTTTTAATCACAGCTGCAGATTCATTGTACAGGATTTGCAAACTTCCTGGCTTAAAAAAACAGATCAATAGGGTGAGCAACTTTTGCTTTAACACATTAGGAGCAAAATTATTTTAAGATGGGAATAATTTATTTTCTCACAGCAGTCTAACATCTGGAATTTATCCTAGCATGGTGCAAGAACAGGGGTAATAGCACTCTCAATGTCTGTTATTAAATCTACCCTTTATTAGCTACTTCTCAGTGGAGATAATCTGAAATGAAATAATTTTGTTTACTTCCACTGCTGAGGTGGGCTATCATCTTTCTTTTCCCCTAACTTAACACTAACTTTGCTTTTCTGTGTGCTTAATCTGCATTTATGTGAAATAAGGAGTAAAACTATACAAGTAAAACCAAACATACTTGAAAGGTGTATCAAAGTGTTTAATTGTCTTTTATTTCCTACCTTAAGTGAAAAATTTATATGAGTCTGTATCTGCTTGTTATTATCCTGTGTCTGTATATAGTGTTTATTTTCCAGAGAGTAGTGAAAAACCCAACTCAGTTTACTTCCTGTTCAATTCCTGCAGCATTTTAAAGCTATAGTTTAAGCTCCTCACTTTACAGAACGAGAGTTCATTATAAACCACAATAGATAATGTTTTGTTTTGTTCTCTCTAAATTGGTCAATATTGTAGATGATGGCTGATCTCATGTTCAGGAAACAAGATTATGAACAAGCTGTCTTTCATTTCCAGCAGCTCCTAGAACGCAAGCCAGGTGAATATTTAGCAGTGATATTTTTAATTCTTTCTGATACATAGTTCTAATGAGACAGAGCAATAAGTATCTAAAAACCACTTTATATTATTAAAAAGAAATGTGCTATTTATTATGTAATGGATACTAAAAGTCCCTTGCTGTATATAAAAACATAAAACTATTGTAGGGGAAGATGAGAAAATTATTTCTCATAGATACAGTAATATACTTTGCTGCAGTGTAATATGCATTGTTTACCTCAAAACTAATATAGCTAGGGTGTTATTTACTTGAAACTGTAAAGCACTTTTGGTTTTAAGATATCAAGTGCATGAACACAGAACTAACATTTTATTTCAAGATTAATAAAGGAAACTTGTCTCAGACAGGAATAAGTTTCTTTTAGCAGTTAGCAAATTATAACCAGAGAGGCGGCTACTAAAATCTATTAAAATAGTTCTGTAATGAATGTAGAGCTTTCTAGTGGATGTCGAAAGAAGTCATGGAATACAGCAAATGTTTTTGTTTGAGTGCTTGTGAAACTGAAGTACAGCCATACTTACGTTTGTACAAGTATTGCAAGTATCACTTGATAAGTTCATTCTTGTAATATTGTGTAATATGCCTTATGTATTACGCTGTATATCATTTTTGTATGTGAAAAAAAACAAGGCAGGCTTTCTATTTCTTAAGCTATTCATATAGCAAATAACTAGAATTACAATATCCTAATTATTTGTATATCTAGATAACTATGCAACCCTCTCGCGATTAATTGATTTATTAAGAAGAGCTGGGAAACTAGAAGAAGTCCCAAGATTTCTTTCAATGGCTGAAAAACATTCTTCCAGAACAAAGCTTGAACCAGGATTTCACTACTGCAAAGGACTGTATCTTTGGTACTTGCAATTATAATTAACTTTTATTTGAGTACACAGTGCATATTTAAATTGACTTTTTTGTCATCCATTATCATTCAAAGGTGCTATGTATAGTGTGATAACTGCATGATAGAGCACTACTTTCCTGACTACTTAAGGTGCTAGGGTTTTAGGAAAGGTCTCCTTTGCTCTTCTGAAATACTTTTAAATGAGCTTCTCTTTAAAATGTAGCTATTTTATCTGTCTCACATACGTATTTCTTACTTGTTAAAAGGATATTCTTGCTGGTTCAATAATATAATATTGCTTACTTTTAAATTTTACAAACTGCTTTTATCTGCAAACCCAAGTTTGTTGCAGTAGTATGCATGCTGTTCAAACCCTGCAGTATCAGTATGTGCAAGTGTGTCATCTGTCTTCAAATACTTGGGCTTCTTCTTGGGATTTGGGTGGGATTTAGAGCAGCGAATTTTACTTGCCCAGCTTTAAATATTTTAATTATCTGTCTAGGTATACAGGTGAACCAAATGATGCACTCCGGCATTTTAATAAAGCTCGAAAGGATAGTGACTGGGGACAGAATGCAGTCTACAACATGATTGAAATTTGTTTGAACCCGGATAATGAAACTGTGGGTGGTGAAGTCTTTGAAAATCTGGATGCTGACACAGGGTAAGTGAATGAAATAAATATTTCTTGGGTTCTGTCATCCCTTTCCTCTGCCTTAATAATTTATCTTAATTTAAATTGCTAGAACTTTGAGTTTATCTAATGATTTGAACATTCTACTTGCTATATTATGAGACACCATCCTAGACTGTAGTAAGTCAGTCTCAAGCAGAAAATATAGAAGATTTTTATCTGGAACCATGGTCACTTGCAGTGTTAAAAACAGCTTGTTAGGTTGGAACTGCTGCTGTTATAGAAAAGAATCAGCGTAGAATGCCTTCATATCAGAGCTGTGTTGTACAAAATGGCATGCCTTTAGCACAAAATTGGCACTAACTCATAATTAGTTTGGTGTATATTAAAAAATTAAGCTTTTACAAACACTTTCTTTCTGATAACAGTAATTCAACAGAGAAGCAGGAGTCTGTGCAGTTGGCTGTGAGAACAGCAGAAAATCTTCTGAAGGAACTCAAGCCTCAGACCATTCAGGGTCACATTCAACTGCGAATCATGGAAAATTATTGTCTCATGGCAACCAAACAAAAATCAAGTGTTGAACGAGCACTGAACACTTTCACTGAAATAGTAGTGGCTGAGGTTAGTAATCTCTCATTTCCTGTCTTCTCTTTCACACTTACTACTTTTTTTTTTTAACTAATCTTGCAGTTTACTATCAGAAATAGTGGCACGTGTTAGTGCTATTCATTTTGAGGATTTTTTTTCCTATTAAAGAATGTTTTGTATAAAATTTGAAAAAAAAATCATGCTGAAACATCTTTCAGAAGTTTTCAATTGGATTGCAACCTTATAACTCCACAAATACTAATATTGCCAGTTACTGAAATGTGAATAAGTTATTTGGTTTGAGCTGCTGGGTTTGCTTTATAATTCCCAATGTTGCCAGCAGCATGTCTGATGATAGAAGTCTGTACAGTACCTTAATTCTATAAACAAAAACAATTAAATATAAGCTGCCTTCATGTACTTCATGGCTCTTTGACAGAATTTAGATTTCAGGGTAATATTATCAATCTGATTAAAATTAATCCTTAAGATGGAAATACTCATTATTTTGTAGCTACTTGTAGTCATTAGCTTTAGGATTAATAACGGATACTCTTGTTACCAACACCTTTCAACAGATTTTATTTAAGCACATGTAGACACATTTAGTCAATCAGAATGCCAAGAAATACTTGTCACTACTACCCATTAACTGTGTGCTAAACTGCTCCTTGGCTGAGCTGAGTATACTGGTGCTTATCTTGTAAGGCTGTTCTGAGAATCATGAACAAGTTGTCCCTCTGCCTCCAGTACTGGCTCCCCAGTCCTGCTCAGAATTGATCTGAGGTCCTTTGAGTATTGAATGTTTTTCACATGGTGACACCATTCCAGCAGGAAGAATGCTCCAGTCTATTTAGTCTTCTCTCCAGTTCATATAAAATATACAGTTTTAATCTCTTCAAACTTCAGAGGTTTTTGATCCATGATAGGTGTGACTTCTGAGGGAAAGGGGGGATGAGCTGATCATTGTGTGGAAGAACGGCTTTTGGTGGGGTCATTTATTTTTTTTTAACCCACTATGGCAAGCCTATTCACAGAACAACACTACAAAGAGGTGTAGAATCAAAATACCAATAGTGAGCCAAGAACACTGAGACGCAGAAAAAAGCTTTTATGTTAGCAGTTGATAGAACTGCTCTCTGGATTTAGAAAGCAATTTTGGGATGCGAGTCCCATTCTCATCTATACTCTGTCCTAATAAAGACAGAATATTAAATATCACACTTGCTCCTGCACTTCTTACTGCTTCCTTGAGGGTCTTGCATAGAATCGTGGCTTTTAAGAACCTTGTTTATTATATGTAGCTTTTGGATACAGTTTAGACTTACATTTTTAGCAGCTGTAGACATAGTAATAGAAACTGGTGTCCCTGTTCTTGATATTTGACAGGCACTTCTAAAAATAGAATATACCACTTGTATTGCAACTTCAAGTGAGTTCAGTTTCTGTCTGAAGTGTATTTGTGTATCAAAAGGCTAGATCTTGCTGGTATCAGAATGTTTCTTGTTGAGATAGAATGCCTGTGGATGCTTTCATCATTTCCTGAGCCTGAAGAAGATTGTTTTGAGCCCAAACTCTTGATTATTTAACGTGGTGTTTATTATGAATTGTCTTACAGCAATAACCGTAGCACTAGGTGGAAAACATGTTTTTAAATTGGTTGTTCTATCTTTATTTCTTGAGATTTAGCTTTTAGTTTAGTAAAAGTTTTATTTTAAAAAACATTACAGCAAAATAAAAAAGCACAAAGAAGTCTCTATGCTTTTTACTGCAGAAGGATCATATACCAGCACTTTTGGGAATGGCCACAGCCTACATGATCTTGAAACAGACTCCACGAGCCAGAAATCAGTTAAAACGGATTTCAAAAATGAGCTGGAATCCCATTGATGCAGAGGAGTTTGAAAAGAGTTGGCTTCTGCTTGCAGATATATATATTCAGTCTGCAAAATATGATATGGCGGGTGAATTATTAAAACGATGTCTTCGTCATAACAGGGTAAGTGAATTCATGTTAAAAAAGTAACCTATTTTATTTCATCTGAATGTCTAGTTTTTCTCTGAAACTTGATTTTGAAATGTATTTCTTTTTCCAATTGCCTGCTATTTGACTTATTAAGGAGAAGTAGACCGAAACAAGCCAGAAAACCAGCAGCTTTACACTGGAGGGTAGTAAACAAACCTGTGAGTGAAGCTTAGTCATTTTTATTCATATTCTAAGTTATGCAGGTTTTAGCTGTGGTGGCACTAGAAGCTTAAAGTGCTTATGGAATGTCAGAGATGCATTTTACTGAGTCTCACAAACCTGATGAAGAAAGATGTAGCCTTATAAATTTGGGAGACTTGTTCCATTTATTAAGAGATATTATCCTCATATCTTAAAACATGGTTTTAAACATTTATGTTCATAAGCTTGCTATTATACAGGATTTTTAAATTATTATTTTTTTAATGCTAGTATTAATCCTCTGCTATGAAGATAATGTCTGGTAGATTGTCTGGGGACAAGCTCTAATGTTTTTAACTCAGAGTTTCTGAGCAGGCAAACTGCCCAGTAGTCTACTTGGACTATAGGAGCAAGCACAGATCTTAGCTTTTGTGCTTATTTTTTCACTTTGTCCCATCTTGCTGTCACACTTTTCCATCTATACACTTCACTTTCCTTCACATGAGGCACATGGAACAGGCTAGTCTTCCATTGATACTATGCTGCAGGTTCGGGATACTGTTTATAGTGCACAGACTTGGTTTAGGAAAGGACCTGTTGCTGTATATTTCTTTTTCTGAATTCATCAGTATAGAAGGTAAGGTTCATTATTCAGTTTTATTTCTGCAGCCTCCTTGAGAGGTAGACTTTTTTTTGAAGATGTACTCTTTTTATTTCTAAATATAAAATTAAGAGGCAGCTCCAGCAGTTCTTGATATAATGATATCACGTACTTCTGCAGAGATGCCTCTTAAAATAGGATGTACTCAATTTCATTTTCACAGAAAATGAGTTTGAATATAGTTAAAAAAAATTTCTACCTTAAGGTCAGTTATATGCTTGTTCAGATGGCCAAGGGAAGTTGCAAAATCCTTACCACTGGAGGACAAACATGAGTCATCTCCCAAAATAAGGCATATCTTGAAATAGATGGTCTGTTGAGCAGGTATATACTACAAATGACACTTTGTTGCAGAAATTCCCAAACAGCTCTAAAAACATAGCCTAGTGAGTAATTTGTTTTCTGCTAAAAAGTTTTAGTCCCGAATTAGATAAACAAGCTGTGCTTGATTGGAAGGAAGATGACAAATTAGAAGTCTGCAACTCTGGTTCCTTAACAAAGCAGCATGGTAAAGATACAGACTTTTCTCCAACTAACATGCAAAATGGCTAAGCAGGAATTGTATTATACAGGTAGATGCTGAATACTTTAGATCTTAAAATTTATCTTGTTAATTCACAAGACAATATTTGGTGTGGTATTCTCCAATTTGGAAGATTTGATTAGATTGAGAAAACACGTTATTGTGATGAATTATTTTTTAGGATTGTTTTTAGCAGTCAGAATTGACTGATGTAGAGAGATACATACATATATGTCACCATTTCTTTGCTCTGTCTCTGTAAAAAAGGTGTATATTTTCATAAAAGCTTCATTTTTTTCTTGAAAATATTTGATCTATTGGCAGCAGGATAATATAAGCTGTTCACAGTAAGGGCATATGGTAGTTAGGGTTTTGCTTATTTTTGTATATTTTTTTCCAGCTTTATGTACTAAATGTAAGATTTCTGTATGTATTACTGTATCTTTCATACTAACTTTTATTAAGGTGTTAAATTGATTTATATATATATCTAACATAAACAAGGCTAGTGTTCTCATCTAGCGCTTAATAGTTTTTGGAACCTGTTTTTCAGATGCTTGTAACTTGCCACATGGAGTTACAAAATGAAGTATTTAATGGTTGGTGTTCTCTTCAGGATATTTGTGTCTGGTTTTAGCTTTAAGTGGAAAATTATAATGCAAAACAATTTCCAAAAATAAGGCTATGAAAATACTTTTTTAAGAAAAAGTGAAACAAACAATAATTGTGGAAGATATAACAGTTTGTGGGTGGACTTGAAATGTGGCTGCCATAGGGTTATTATTAACTGAGAGAGTTATCTACAGGGTTCCTGGAGGTTCTAAATATTTTTGAAGGAGTAGTTGCAGTGTCCCCTATGAAAAATTCGGTACTTGACTTCGAGTAGTTTATGGAATTCTGCACAGCGAATTCCTATAACTGGTTTGTATTTCAGATGTTTTAAATGAAGATCTTGTCATCAAAGTTAGTACAGGTATCACTTATGCTCTCCAGTTGCACAGATTTGAAGTATTTAAGCAATTAAGCTGTCAGTATTATTATATATAAGCTTACCTAAATAAAATTCTGACTGAATATGTATATTTTGCAGTCATGCTGCAAGGCTTACGAATACATGGGATACATAATGGAAAAGGAACAAGCATATAAGGATGCAGCAATGAATTATGAGATGGCCTGGAAATACGGAAACCAAACAAATCCAACAATAGGCATGTATATATAACCTATGATTTCAGGCACTACAGTAGGAATGAAACAGCTACCCTTTACTGGAAAGACATTTTTAATTTTCTATAGAGTATCACTGGTTTTCCTTTACGTAGGAACTGCAGATGTTTAAAGGTGTACTTAACAGTCACTTGGAAAGCCCCTGTGGCTAGAGGTAGCAGCTTTATGATAGTTCAGAAGTTTCTGCTTACTGTTTTAGTACAAGATTTGGTCTGAAACTGATTTAGTTTGCTCTTTGTTAACACCTTTCTCTTTAAGTAGAGCATTAATTTTCAGTCATGTATTTATAGCAATGCAGTATATACTGTCTGTAGTAGAGAACCTTTTATAATACCCAATATATATCTGATGGTGGCAGATCATTGATTTAATTATTTCATTTTGATAATGAGACAAATTATCTATTTATATAGATAAGGCTTTATATACATGAGTAAGGATTTAAAAAATAAATTCTTTAAATGTCTTTTAATATGTCTGACTTAAAAAAGATGGTTAACTGAAAACCTGGGATACTATTCAAGTTCCAGTCTGGATGGTTATTTCCAGTATACACTAAACTGTTACATTTTTAGACTATTTTAATGTAGGAAACCCTTTATGAAATGGATGATTAGGATAAAAGGCCAGTTCTTACTCTACACCTAGAGAATTTGTGTAAGCCACCAGCCAGGTCCCAAGACTGGTGGCTTACACAAATGCTGTTCCAGGTTTTGGACTATGCTTATGGCCCCTGAAAAAAAAAGTCTTTAATCTGTGGTCTTTTTTTGTGCCCTAGGATTTCTTAGCGTTAGGGTAAGATAGCCTTTGGCATCAACTGGAAAACCAGTGGTTTTTTCAACAACGGCTGTTACACATAGGAACTGCCATATATTTTGTTTCTTTAACTCCTGGATGCTGCAGTGGTTTGGTTCATGATTTTTATCTAACATGGTCTGTAGATTAAAGTATTGTTTTATTAATGGAACTAAGTGTTTTGTGCTTTAGCTCCTGCTTTTGTAACACAGTTAAGGATCTAAAAATGCATGTGTGGATGGATTGCCAAAATTAGATGTTACCCTATGTACTGTGAGTGAAAAAATTAGGAGGGTCAAAGCAGAAAGAAGACTCAGCTGTCAAAACAGAAATAAAAATGAATGTTAGAGGTCTGATTTAGGTTATATGGGAAAATCTCTAGATCTAAGTATGAGACTGGATGCAGTAATTTCACCAGTTGTTCCTGCTCCTACAGACTGACCCATGAATATGTCTTGGCTAAGATGTTACAGTTGTTGATCAAATAAAATGCATTAGAGAGGACTTTTAATAGTAAAAAGGTGTGATTTCTCGAGTTTGTAGAGAACATAAGTCAAGACTTCTGCTATGTTGAAACCCTCTAGAGGGTAGGAATTGAACAGATTACAATATCATTTGGTGTCTAGACAGGAGAATGCATTAGTGAAGTTAAACGGTGGAACAGTCTTGCATACAAAAGTGAGAGTATGATATTGTCGGTCCTGTGTGCACATTGTTTTCTAGTTTTGCATACAGCATTATGAGAATTGTCATGCATTAAAACTAAAAACCTTAAAGCAGCACAAACTGGATCTAGCAAGTAAAACCGTTTAAACTGTTACCAGATCCCTCGTACTCATTTGCTTGTCACGATAAATTCATAAATGAAAGATCTAAAATTTCAGATTTTGGAAATTACAGACTCACCTCTTTTTTTCCTTGAATCCTGATCTCTGTCCAAGCTGATATACTTGAGCTATACTTTTTATGTTAAAAGTATCAGCCTGACATGTTGCTATGTGACTTAGCTGTTCCATGTGACTTTTTATCAGTGGTCTGCTGACAGTGGAATAGAATAGCATTTTAATTCCCTAGTTTGTTATTGTTATCCTGATTTTTTTTTTAATTCTTTTTTCTTTTAATAATGGAATTGCCTTTACAGAGCGACAGTGTATTGTAGGTCACAGTGAGAAACTCGGTGGGATATCACAGTAATTGAAAGAGGACAACCATTATGTATTCTCTGTAGTAACACATACTCTCCAGAATAATGTCTCCTTTTGATTCAGACATAGCTATCAGTATATAAAGGACTGCTTGAAGTGACTTTCAGTAAAAATTTTGATCTCTACAGGCTTAGATAAGAGAATACAAGAAAACAAACATACTAACTTTAGAAACATATGGTGACCAAAATGAATTTGAATGTGGTTATTTTCATTATTCAATACAGAAACTGAAATTGTCACCTTTTTCCCCCCCTTTACTTACAGGATACAAGCTGGCTTTCAATTACCTGAAAGGAAAGAGATATGTTGATGCAATTGATGTTTGTCATAAGGTAGAATTTGTATATAATGCTTAATACTCTGTACTGTAGCAACATTCTTTTGCATAATGATCCTTTTCTTTGCGGAGTTTAAATTTCTAAAATATATGACTTTGTGCAGAAAGACACCCTATTTAATAAGTTTCATTAGATTAAATTAAATATCTTAATCTGCTTTGTCCTGAACTCCCTGGACACCAGGTAAATAAGAGATAAAGTGGCTGGCTATCATATGTGAAAGCATATTCAAATGGCACCACCCTCTTTTGGCCTTGTGGTTGCAACTTGGTAAATCCATACAGAAGTATAGCTGAAGAAGTTAATCGAGTATTAGTATCAGAGGACACTGTTAGAAAGTAACTTCCAGTATTATCTTTGCATGGTCCAAACATAAATAGAGCAGATGCAGAATGAGAGGAAGGGCTATGATTACAGAATCAGAGTCGACATTATAAATTAATAATTAGTAGTATTAATAATGAAATAAATTATATTTGCTATTTTCAGGGGACATAAAGATAACTAGAAAGGACAAAATTAATGGAGAGATGAAATAGCGGAGAGAATTGAAGGGCAAGAAGATGAAGTGGATAGAATATAATAAGAAAGACCCTGAGAGAGTAAAAACATAAGAGCAGTTTATCATTCCAGAGAAGTATACTTAAAACCTTGGAAATGTCTCCAGAGGTCACTGCTCTGAATGCACACATGTCAAGCCACCCAAAGGATTTAGCTCTTGATCCCTGTGTCTTTCACACCAAGGTGACAGGGCAGTGCGAAAGGGAAGCAAGATGTCTTTGATAAAGCTGTTGTTGACCACCATACATGTTATTCTCTAGCCACAGTTAAATATTTATGCATTCTTAAACCAAACATGTCATGTTGTTAGTTTAGTCTTAGAATGTGTAAACTCAGTGATGAGTATTCTTTCCTTTTAGACACAGAAATTCTGGGTTGTTTTGTCTTTTGACAGGTCCTTGAAGCACATCCAAACTATCCAAAGATCAGAAGGGAAATACTTGACAAGGCCCGTGCATCACTAAGAACATGAAATTTTTTTTGCATGGCTCATGAACTTCTTTGTTTAATTGGACTCTGAAAACTATGAATTAAATACTTCAGTGACAGAGACCATATCAGCACGGAAGTATTGTGAATATGATTAACTTAATTATGCTAGAGGTCTGGATTATCTTCAGGAAAAACCTTCAGCCCTGAAAGAAATTGTATTTATTCTCATTAAGGAGATAATACTCTTACATGTGTGCTATATAAAGTGTCATCCAGCATCAAAAAAAGTGTCATTAGCATTATAAAAATATTGTAAAGCCTGTAACTTAGGTGGGGTTTTTTTTTGTCTGTTTGAAATAGCACTCAAATCAATAACCTATCCTACCTTGTGCAGGTACTTTGTTAAGATGCTGGATTTCAGTTCGTGTAAACCATTTATTCATAATTACAGTGGAATCTTTATTACTGTAAATGTATTTTAAAGTATGATTTTTCATTTTTTCATATATTGTGAGCATGCTTTGTTTTTTAATCTTGAAAAACTATATACATTGTTCTCAATGAAACTTATATTTTTAATTAAAATCTACTATTTAAAATTAAGAACTTGTGTAAATATTCAGTAAAGACTTTTCTAGATCATGCAAGTCTTACACAGAATTTATCTTCTGCTCATGCTGTATGTTATACACCTGACATTTCCATGAAGAGAAATGTTTGACATTTTTAAATTGGAATGTTTAGTCTTTCAACATTGTATGTGTAGACAGTGCAGTCATATGTGCAGAAGTTAGCACTCATTTTTTTTAATCTGTATAAAACACCATTTTGAAGAAATTGTTTTGATTACATGGGATTATGATCTTGTCTCACATACAGAATATACCTGTGGATCTTTAAGGAAGCAGTAGCATGTCATAAATGAGAGGAAGGAGAAGGATCAGGTTTTTTTCAGCGATGCAGAACTTTTGAAAAAACAAATGCCTAACAAAAACCACTGTTACACTGCTGTATTTGATTTTCAAACAGCACTTGATGTTGTATATATTTGACTAGAAAACTGATGTTTTGGCATGAAGGAGAATTCTTGATACTAGTGATTAAGTTTCTTAAAATAAGGGATTTTGGTTTCCTCCTTAGGTAATTTTATCTTTTCATGTTGACATTGTGTAAAGTCACTTTCATATGATTTTTGGGTTTCTTTTTTAAGACAACTGAATGTTAAGGCTACAGAAGGGAGCCTGTTTACAATCATACCTAGTCTTGCTTATCAATAACTAGGTACTGTACCTTGGGTAACTATCCTTGTTTCTTAAATAAATTGAGGTATATCATTTATGCAGTGATGCTACCTGCTGGTGGTTTACAGGCTCTGCATTCCAGTAACTTTTGAGCTGCTCGTCGGCTATTTGTGTGCATATTAGAATTGGGAAAAGACCCAGATAAGTGGCGTCTCCTTCCCTAGGGAACCTTGAAACTTACGTTGTAGCCTTACTGCTTCTGTGTGACACTGGCAATCACTGTGTACATAGTTATAACCAAGTACAGTACAGTCTCCCTGTTTTTTGCCTGCAAGCTGTGCAGCATGATAGAGCTCTGAGGAAGAAGATTTAGAAGTCTGGGGAAAAACTGATGGTATGATAGTGGAATGAGGAATATGGAAGGATCTGGAGTGAGGGGGGAACTGTAAGGGAGCTAGGCTGTGGGGGTCAGTAGACTATGAATTTTTAAACTAGGCTGGTGGGTTTTTTGTTTTTGTTTTTTTGGGTTTTTTGGTTTGTTTTTTTTTTTGGGGGGGGGGTGGTGGTTTTGTTTGTTTTTATTTTTCCACTGCTAAAAGGATAAGTGCTAGGCCCTATCAAGGCTGTTATCTAGTATGACCACATTTCTTTGTACACAGCCCTATTCATGGTGGATAAATGTGGTTTTGCTTCCTTAATAACACTGGAATAAAATTTAGCTAAAGTTTAGAATAAAAATAGGTAGTTTTATATCAGCACATGCAAGATGTTTTCAAAAAAGGCAAGACTAGTCTACATCTACTTTATTTTGGTTTTATTATGAGCTTAAGATGAACATAGTAACAGATTAAGTCATAACAATGATACAGAAGTTAGTTGGTAGAAATTAAACTGAGACTGAACTTTTGGTGGCTACCTTTTGGTGAAGAGTGTTATTCATACACCATGCAGGTAAAATATTTCTGAATTCCCATTAGCCATCCTGAGCATATCTAGCCACTAGTGTTATTTTATAGATGAGGTCTTTAAAAGAAGAGTGCAAATGAGGCACATCTTTGGATTTCAATTAAAAAAAAATATATGGCTATAAGCAGTCCTTTAGAGAAAATCTTGCTTTAATGTAGTATTCCCAGAAGTAGTAAATGTCCTTTCCATTTCCCTTTTGGTTTATATAAGCCAACTTAAATTTTCCTGTACTTGGTAATGTTTTGGGTTTTTTTTACTTTCTGTGCAGAAGGAATGGCTTTGTTTCATTTCTCTTTACTCCAGCTAATTTCAGGTATTAATTTCAGCTTTTCTTCTGCTTCTACAGTTTCTTATTTTAAAAAAATGCATGTCGTGGTAGCTTTTTTTTTTTAGCCTCTTTCTTAATAAATGGTTTTGAATGAAAGAGACTCCTGGGATGGAGGGGAGTCAGTAATGCCAGTTTCAAAGAGCTGCAGTCTTTAGTGTGGTGTTGCTTAGCAACCTATCTTCCAGTTTTGCCTTTGGTGAATAAAAGAGGAGAGTAAAGCTGTGGTTTCTATTGATTCATTCACTGAAACTAGAAATCTAAGCATCTTGTATCTATAGCAACATAAGCCACAGGTTCCTCTCCTCTCTTGTCCCTCTTTCCTCTGCAGGTACAGAATGCCTAGAATATCTTGCAGAGGATGTGTAAACATTTTTGGTAACAGTGTACTAAACAATACTTCTGTTTTCATTCCCTACTTTTTTTTTTTTTTTTCAGATTTGCACCAATACTAGAAAGATGGTCTAGAAAGTATGATTAGGTAAAATAATTAGTATAATTAGTTAAAATAACTAAACTAGCAAGACTCTCATAGAAAAATGGAGTAGACTTAATTTGCATTTTTCACCCTGCTTTTGGACTAGGTTTGACTACTGAGAGTAATTTCTCGAATATGGCTGTAGCAGTTTTTAGAAAGACTCATAAATCAGGCAGCTCTGGTTTAGTAACCTTAACTTTAATCTTATTACCCGTTAGATGAGTGAGGAGCTTTATAAAGGTGATAATTTAAACTGAATCGATTGTGTTAGAGGAATTTTTTGAAACATTTCTGATCAAATTGTCTTTGAAAGTGGTGCAGGAGACGTTTCAGGGCAGTCTTAGTGGGGGTGGATTCTTTCTCTTTGGAAGCTGATCATAAAGAACTCATTAGCATGTTCTCTGTACAATGCTGAACAGGAAAAAATAGGTAAAGAAATTAAGGAAAGATTTCACTAACAAATACTTCTCCGTCATCTTATGACTATCTTACACTAAAAACTGACTATGCTGTTTTTTAATGTAAGATCGCTATTTTGTCAGTTTAGGCTCCTTTTGACTGTGATTTTGATTTTTAGCTCCATTCATTGTTTTCTGGCTTCATTCACTCTGTGCCTACACCTCTTGCTGCATCTTGCAGTGAATCAGAACTTTTTTTAAAAAAAATTGACCTGCCTTAAAATGTTTAGAATTGGAGTGCAAAAATCACATGGTTTTATCTCTGCTAAAACTTGGTTTGGTAATTATGTGACAAGGTGCGTGCTAAAAGAGGAGATAAGTGAATGGTCTAAATCTTGTTCTGAAGTACTTTCTTTTTTTTTTTTAAAAAAAGAAAAAGTTGGTATGCCTGTTAAATGGAAAACAGCTTTTTGCATGTTGATGCTAGAAATTTGCCTTATTTGAAATGTGTGCAACAGAAAGTTGAATGTTGACTGTACATGTCTTGGTTGATGTAGTACTTGCTATAGTTCAGGCCTCAACTTTCAAAGGCATAAGGAAGGGTTTTAATATGCTAGAAATACCAGAAAATAACTGTGATTAAGTCTATTCTAAATCTTCATTAAGTGTTCCTGGGCAAGATGAAAATACTGGTATTGACATTTTTGTCACTGATACAGAACCAGTGCCAACTCACTACTGCCAACTCACCATCTACTTACTGAGCAAATTTAGCCACCTGCAGTTCAGCAAGCTGAAAGAAATCAACTTTGAAGCGTTGGACTGAGGCTGTAATCGTGGTACTTTTATTTGAAAGTAGGAAGGGAGATTCTGTGCTATGTTAAGGGAAGTTAGGAGCAAACTTTGTGCGATTTTTTTCCCCCCTCCCCAAATTTCAACCATGCCTTAATAGAAAAGTGATTTTATCTCTAGCCCTCTGGGAAACTCTGCATTGTAAAGGAAGGGAGCTCAGTGTGATATCCTTTCTCTCAAACTCTGATCTCACCTCTAAGGGATTTTGTGTTCTGTTTCCCGGCAACGTGAGCTGGGAGCGCTTGGTCAACCACATCTTACACGACGTAACACTTAGGTGACTGAAGAAAAAACCCCAGCCCCCTGCCGTGATGCTGAACACGCAATCTGTCATTCGGCTGTTAGAGCACGCACCGGCGGCCGTGCCCTGCTGCGGTGCGCATTATGTAATTGTCTAAAAATGACATTTTCCGGCGGGTAGAGAAGGCGCAGAGGGATGAGTAAAGCGTTCCGCTCCAGAAGCGTGCGTGCTCCCCGCTCCCTCGGGCGGCGGTGAAGGGCGCTGCTGCCTGGCAGCCGGACAGGCGGGTCTCCGGGGAGTGCTGGCCACCAGCCGCGCGCACTGTCCAAACCAGAAGTATTGACTGAGGGAGGTGTCTCTTGCCATGTACTGATCCCGCCCAATTTGCCCACAGGACCGCACTGATTTGATAACAGCAGGGTGGTATTTCCACTGTGTACGTTGCCAGCTTCCTTTGGTGTATTTCATCCTATATGAAAAGTTTTTAAGTTACTGGGTTGTCTTTTTCTGACAGTTTTTTAGTCTTTGACGCAGCAGGTGACAGTACTTAGAACTGACAGGAAAAGTGAATTATAACATAGATAACCTTAGCGTCATGGTACTTATTTTTTTATTTTTAACTCTGCGTAAAATATGCTTGTACAAAGAAGTATTTGTTAATAAACATTTTTATTGGTTAAAAAATGTCTTACTGGAAACACAAATTTTATGTATGCATCTTAGTAGTATTTTACATATTAGTCTTCTGTTACAAAACAACATCTTTTATTCAAAAAGTTGTAAATTATATTGATCTAGTCATCCTTGACTAAAGGCAGTGCTGGTGAGCTGAGCGACAGTTAAAGTCTGAGACAGAACAGCCAACTTATGGCTTTTGGTTTCTTTTTTTAGCTAGGTTTGCTCAGTGGCCTGGTTAGGTTGGCATCTGCTGCTATCATCTCAAGGCTTCTCAGTAACATAGCAAAGTAAAAATTAAGTCAGTTACAGAGAGCCCAAGTTACTATTTTTGTGCACTGTGGGAAGGAGCAAAAGACCAGTTTTCTTCTTCCTCACAACTGCTATTACCATTTACCTTTGCCCTTTTTTTGGGGTGGGGTAATTCCAGTAGCAGCCTGGATGTCATGACTTCTGTCAAAATACG